TGTTGTTGTTGTTGTTGTTGCTTTTCTTAGTTATTCCTCACAAGCTTGAGTAAATGCTCCACTACATCTTTCCTGGTAAGCCATTCTTGGAATTACGCAATGACTTGTTTCCATTTAAATCCACATAGGAGCTCTAATCTGGCTCAGGAGCTTCTGGTTTCACCCTGTTGTATTTGTTGTTGTTGTGTCTGGTGAAATAAATGAATAAATAAAAAAACGGGGGAGGGGGGGCAAGCTATAAAATTATTTTATGAAAAACTTACTACCACTAATGTGACATCTGTTATTGCACCACAATACCACCGTGTTCGTGCAGTATATTTACAGCTGTTAAATCCATACATCAGCCCATGCGAAGCTGCAAATTACTAAGAGTTTAATCTTTCATAAACACACTTTTGGACTATTTGACTGTCCCATTAAGTCTAGTTCTTAATCCTTCTTTTATAATCAATGCCTGAACTGGGAGTGCAGGCAAGCTTACACTGATTTACCATCTTCATTTACACAATTACAAAGTGGGTCCCCTGCTCTGGAGCTGTTTGTAAATCTGTCTCTCAGGCACACCACTCATGCCGCCACTGTGTGAAATCGTATGCAATTCCGTTAGCAGCTAAAAAAAGCAACTGGATATGAAAAGGAAGTGTACTTTCATCCATTAGTTGTAGCTCTTAAACTGTAATCAGTCTCCATATTTCACACATAACAAGTGTGTGTTAATGACTTTGAAATAGCGCAAAGCCACACCATGCCAGACTTTATATTTTAATAAACTCATGATACAGCCTACTTATATTACTTTATAAGTATAGAATTTATTACACACATTAGTATATACACACTGCAAAACTGATATTTCTATTTAAATCGCTTTCACAAAAGAATTTCCTAAATATGGGTTAAATAAATGATTTCTTATTCGTATTACGCTGGATCCATCTTTCAGAGGATTCCTGTTTGTTTTAAAAGTTTGGTCATGGAAATCCTACCACATATACTCTTACAACTGGTCTATATATGCATGGAAAGGGTAATGTGTGGTTTTGCACGTAAACATCCACGCACCGAGTGCTCCCTCACAATCACGTCAAACAAGAAAAACACACATGCGCACACGCAGTTGAGCGTGTGGCAAGCGGCAGCAGCTGCTGTGTGTATAATTAGAGTGTTTTGAAAGCTGAGAGTCGGACAGCAAGACTTTCACCTGCAGACTTAACGGTTACCGTGACAACCAATTATCAGCGATAGGACGTTAATGTGCTTATTTAGCGTCTCTGCGTGTGACACTGGTGCCCTGAGGCGAAGCGGTGAAGATGGAAGTGTGGGGATACTTATGACTGAACAGCTACTTCACCGTATGCCGAGATTTCTCTCCTTTCATAAACTCGGTTTCCATCTCCCGTCAGACACGCCCACAGGTGATTATCAAAGCGAATAAAAATTCAAATTTCTTCCCCAAACGTTTAAAATACATTTAAAGGCAGTTAGTGTGTAGAAGTCACACAGACGAACTAAGAGCATCGACAAAAACTAATAACAGGGTATTGAGAATGGGGTGTTAGAGGTTTATCAGGTGAAAAATAAAGAAAGGTGAAGCTGGCCTTCTTCTTCATAATGCCGTTTGACGACTCAGCATCCAGAAGATTGTAATGGCACTCCATCTAGTGGACTCTGCAGGGAAATGATGATTGTAGGGCTGATCTAGGCTGTATCCCAATCCAGGATCTGCAGCCTTAAAGGCCGCATTTCAAGGCCGATTACATCACAGCGGCGCGCCGAAGGCTGTCCCAATTCAAAGGTTGCTCGAAATGCGGCCCTGAAATGCGTCTTTCATTTCCCTGAATTTTAAGGCTGTGGCAGTGTAGACTTCGTGGCCCAACATATCCCAGAATGCATAGCGCGGCGGTGGGTGTGGATAATTTTGCCGAAAAAAAACGGATGGGGGAGCTCCCGAAGAGTAAACTTTAAGTAAGTACTGAATATTATGTCACTTATTTATGTGTAAATGTTTAATAACGAAGAACATTAAAACATTACTGTTGCCACATGTCGGCAAAGTTATGTGACATTAGTGACGTTTGTACTAACTTGGTTTTAAAGCCTTTACTTTAAATATACGCCGTTCAATAGCTGAGCTTAATCCTACAGAGAATGATCAAAGCTCATGTAGAAACAAACAAACAAATGAACAAAAGATTTTCTCCTTCATTTCTGTCAAACAAAGCTGTATGATGCGTTTCCAGCTGTTAGTATCATGGTTGCTAGGCAACCTGGGCAGCGCAACGGAGGCTAGACCGTCCCATTTCATAAGCCTCGCACTTCCGGCCTTAGCGGTCTTTGAGTACGCGGCCCTTGAGGATCGTTGAGGCTGCGTACTTTAAGGCTGCAGACCCTGAATTGGGATACAGCCCTAGTGCACTTTTTTCCCCTTTTTTCCATTAAAAGTGAATGAAAACAAGTTTCATATGACATATACAAAAATAAGAAACAACAATATCTACAACTACTTTATGTTTTCCACAGTTGGCTTAAAAACACAAATTGTGTTTTTGTCCCCATGCCCAGTAAAGTTACAACACTGATCTATAATGTTTTAAAACTGCGTAACTAATTCAACAAATACATTTTAAAAGAATCACAAGTCAGCAAAAACATTTCATTTTAATTAATAATCTAATGTATTTGGCAGCAGCAAAAGCGTTATTTGTAAAACACTGAACAGACATTGTAAATAGCTAGAAATATTTAATTATATTTTATTTAAATATTTTTTTGTTTATACATATTCTTTTGAATCGCAAGTAGCAATAACAGCACCGGTGGCTACAGTCACATACAGCCATTCGCCTGCTCACTCAGTCAGCTGGACATTGTGCCATTATCTGAGATGTACCCCAACTCCTACCCTGCATGTTTCTCCTGATTGCCCGAAAACTTTGAATAACGTCGTGAAATCTGACAGTATTATAGCACGGAATAAAGATTATGATGATCTGATTTGCAGGATACACTGCAAACTGTCTAAAATCTGCTTTATCTTTTGATTTTGAAGTTGCATATCTAACAAAGAAAAGTGAACTACTGTACATCTAATAAGAAATGTAGTTTACATTTTTCAGTAGTTTCACCCAGCTATGTTCATTTACTTCTTCAACCCACTTTTGAATAGTTAACTGCTAAAACAATTTCATGTTATCGTTGTTCCTATACAGTCACTTACTCTGTTTTGATAAGCACTAGTATCTGTGCCAGTGGCAAGTGGAGAAATAGGCTAGCAGGGCAGAGCTTAGCCAGGGTTCACATTTTGATATTTTGACTTCACAGTGACGTGAAGCTGGGTAAGACCCATCTGCTGCCTTCTACTCTTCACTCACCACTAAATGGATTAAATCTCCTGTGCACACAGCTCTCATCTGGCTCTGTGTGTATGGTTAAAGCAGTGGTGGTAATATCTCCTAAAGAAGGCAGTCATGATACAGTCTGTTCTACTTCCGTTCAACCAGCTGTTACTGTCTGGGAAGTATCCCAGGTACCTATGTCGTTCCTCTGTCGTTCTCTAATTGCATATTTGAGTTTTATCAACTTTGCAAATGTGATGCACTTTGTCATGGTTTGTAAAGTCAAGATGAAAGAATTCATCTTTAGCCAGAAATGATTTTCTAAAGCTAATCCAGAAACTTCTGACTTTTTGCCATCATGAGAAAATTCAGTGTACATTGTGTACCTCACATTTTCAGTTCATTATAATATAATAAAGGTTGTTTTTCCTTGAAAGAAAAGAAGTAGTATATAATACAATATTATTTGTTATCTGGACCATATAGTAGTATGAAAGTCAAGATTGATGTGTACCAGTAAAATACATCATGTACAGTACTGTTAAAACCAGCTGTAAGCCAAGATATGATACTGCATTTTCTCAACGAACTGCTCAGATTGTTAGAAAATACGCTGCAGCACAAATATCTGATATCTGATGCATAGCATCAAAAACGTTTTTGATGATAGAGTTTGTCTTAATCATTAGGTAGCCAGAAAACACCCAAACACTCAAAACACCCAAACAGAAAAAAGGATAGCATTTAAAGTATTGATTATTAATCTACATCTTCAGAAACACACGGTTCATAGTACATGCAGCATTGATATGTAAATATTTTCTTTTAAGAATAATAATATTTGCTGAAACAGACCTGAAAAGATGGCATTGCTTCACTTGGAGACTTATTTTTAAGCAGATTTTAAATTTGCTGCTGTTTTTGTAAAACCAGAAATTTGATATGTAAAATTGGAGACACATATTCATGGAATTTAGAATTTCACATTTGTCTTCTCTGTTTTTCTCGAAGGATCACATCTGATTTTATCCTCATGTTTGGTTTAGACTTTTGCCCAACAAGCAAAAGATCCCTGGTTCAATCCCAGGAACATGTGGAGCTTCTCCTCTGGTGATTCTTTGTGAATATAGAAGAGGTTGAAAGTATCTCTCATAAAGTGCTTTAAAGTTCCACTGAGATTAAATTAAAAGGCACTGTTCTCAGATGAACTCTTGCAGCGGCTTTAGGCTATCGAAATATTTCAAGCTTAGCACGGGTTGCTTTGGTAAAAGATGTTTGTTGGATGTTTTTGTCCAGAGGACTGAAATTATAGGCCACTGGAGATCATTTTAGCTGCAGGTCTCTGCAAGTTCTACATGACATGCTGAGTTCAGAGCAGCTATCGGCATTAAATCATAAGACTCTGCATTAACAGAAGGGTCAAGCTTAGCGACGGAGAGCAGCCTGCTTTGCTGTGAGAAACAGATGGCTCACTGAGATTAAACAGCTGACCTGCTTAGCTCACGTCTGAAGGTGCTGTGATTCCAGTGATGCCTCACAGCATTTTTTCTTTATTATGAATTTATTTCAGTCTATCAAGCTCCCTATGGGTCAGATTTAAGAGTTGTTTTATTACATTTCACTTACAATTGTACAAAAAGTAAATCACATATTCAAAGTTTTAAAAAGTGGTGTACTAAAATCCCAGAAAAAAATCAATTAAAATTGAAAATCATAGGATCAACTTGCTTGCATGCAATATTTCTGATTGCAATGCAATGACACTTAAAGATAAGATAAGTTTTGATTTTGCAGGGCAACTGTTAGGGATAATTCCTTGTACAAATCCTGTGCTGGTTCTGTGGAAGCACAGCAGCCTGAGGTCAGATTAAAAAAGGAAGGTCCACTCGGTCGCGTGTGAACCAGGTTGCGATCCGGGCTTAAAAACAGATCAGAGTCAGAGGATATAAAAACCAGCTCAAACACACAGTGTGTCACAAAGAGCTCCAACTCTCACATGGTATCTGACTACAGAAATATCCAGATATACTAACAAGGAAAAAGAAAAAAAATTATAAAGAGTTTAAGGGACGTTCCTCTGCAACAGCAGCCATGGTTCTGGAGGAGAATGACTGTGACTCTGTCTTCAACCCCCAAATCACTGTGAGTATCATAGAGAAATTTCAACTTCTTGAGACCCTGTTTGCTTTTCTGCAAATTATACCTCATTCTGCTCAACATAGATCTGTTGCATCCCATGCATGCCAAAACAGGAGCTCGGGTTTTAGGAGGCTAGGGGTAAATCTGCTGCGATTGCAGTGCAAATTTAGTGACTTTTATATTGATATCATATGCTTTTAGGCTATACTAGTAAAGCACTTTGAGGAGATCCTGGCTATATTTAACATGTTTTAATTTGTGGGTAACTTATACAGAATACTAGTTCCAGATTTGGACTCTTCTTTGATGCATCTTTGTTTCAGGAGGAGCATGTAGAGACTCAGTATGGGAATGTCCATTGTATCATGAACGGGACACTAAAGGGAAATCACCCTGCCATCCTGACCTTTCATGATGTTGGACTGAACCGTAAGTAGCAGCCCTCAACCCCAGCAATACAGTTTTTGTGATCTCTATATCCTCTAAATAAATAGAATAGAACTAAATACCAAAGGACAGAAATAAATAAAGGTGGAAATTCCTGGAGCAATGATGTCCAAACATGTTTCCATTTCTAATCTATTTTTGTATCTGGACCACAGCATGTTGGCTTTATCATGTAAGGGCCTGTTTCACAATTTCTAAAGTGTCTACAAATTGTTTACTTGTCTTCTTATTTTTTCTTATATTTAAAATGTTTACTGCTTAACAGTTCCATTTTTGTGTTTTCTTGCCGCAGACAAGTCCTGTTTTGAGACTCTGTTCAACCATCAGGACATGTACGAAATCATCAGACATTTTCCTGTTTGTCACGTTGAAGCCCCAGGACAGCATGAGGCAGCCAAAACTCTGCCTGCTGGGTTAGTAGATGGTCTTTGTTACCCATTTCTCACACCACATGTGTATTTTAAGAATTAATGATGGGATTGTAAAATTATTTGATATGAGATCCCGTGAATGCTGATGGGAAAACTGACTTTTGACCCCTCAGTCACACCTACCCTACCATGGACCAACTGTCTGAAGCACTGCCTTCTGTCCTCAAACACTTTGGGTAAGACAGACCTGACACTCCTTACTTGGATTCACCTCTGATTTAAATCTGGACCAGTTAATCTTTGGCTGTGTGTTTTGCAGGTTGCGTAGTGTAATTGGTTTGGGAGTGGGAGCGGGAGCATACATCCTGGCTAGATTTGCTGTGAGTCTGAATCTTTTAAAAATAAATAAAGCATAAAGCCATTTTTGTTGTTGATCTTCTGGGCTTCTCTATGCGGATCTTTGCTCTTCGAGTCAAGTTACAAAGATACAGTTAGACATGTCTTGAATCGGAGATGTTGGGAGTACTTCAAATTCTTTTGTGGCTGATGTAGACTAACAGAGTCAGATCTTTTCATCTGTGCATGCAGCTGAATCACCCTGATTTGGTGGATGGATTGGTTCTGATCAATATCAACCCCAGTGCTGAAGGCTTAATGGATACTTTTGCAACCAAGGTAGACAATATGTAGTCAGATACAACCTAAATTTGATTCATTTTTACACCGGCTGCAATGAAACATTTTTTCATTGTTCCCTTTTTCAATTGTTCTTAAACAGCCCTAATGTCAATGCATTAAAGATTACTAAATGAAGGTCGCTTCACCTGGTGAAACTGTGTTACAGCTCACTGGATGGACCCAGACTCTACCAGACACTATCATCGCACACTTGTTTGGAAAGGCAAGTTGTCAAGCCTTTTCTACAGTGTTTAATTTTAGTTAGCCTCAGAAGAAAAACTGAAATGCTCATCATAAGATGAAGTAATACATAATATATATATTAAATATATTTATTTAAATTAAAATATGAAGATGATTTAAGATATATACACAGCAACTGCTAAATACAGAACATCTGTCTCCGACTTATAGGATGAAATCCTGACCAATCACGACCTCATCGCCACATATCGCCACCGCATCACAACAACAATGAACCAGGCCAATGTCAATCAGTTCTTCCGCTCCTACAACCACCGCAACGCTCTTGAGGTGGAAAGACCCGTTCCTGGAGGAAACATCAACGTCAGGACTCTCAAGTTAGTAAAACCATTTGTCTTCATACAGAATCTTTTACTAATTTAATGACCGTTCTACAAAATCACCTCTTTTAATTCTGTCGTTTGCCCATCACAGGCTTGCATCTTTGCAACAGGCCAAGTTAATCCCAACCATATGTTTAGTCTCTCTGACTGTTTCATCTTCCTGTTGGTGTGTAGGTGCTCCACTCTGCTCATTGTAGGCGATAATTCTCCAGCTGTGGAAGCTGTGGTGGACTGCAACTCTAAGCTCAACCCCACCAAAACCACACTGCTTAAGGTAACTGGAGAACTGGTTGACTCAAAAATAAACACACGTGCAATATCTGAAGTATTTTATTTAAAACTGTGGTGCTGATAAGTTCATAACCTTAGAGTGAATTATGCATATTTCTTTCTCATTCGTCCTCCTCTAGATGTCGGACTGTGGAGGGCTTCCTCAAGTGGATCAGGTGTGAAAACACATTTTACTGGCTGCTTTGAGAATAATGCAAATTCTCTCCTAATAGTTATGATCTTTCTCTCCACAGCCAGCCAAAGTGATTGAAGCCTTCAAATATTTCATCCAGGGCATGGGATATTGTAAGTGATAATGAACCGCCAACCATTAATGATGACAGCATTTAATTCAATATCTCAATTCCTTGTTCGTGATGGTCTTTATTTCATTAAGTCACTAATTTACTAGCTGGATTTTATATAGGTCAAGGCAATGTTCTGAAATAGCAATGAGCAAAAAATTAATTCATATACTTTCCTGAAATCTCACTTTATTAACAAGAACCACCTCTGAATGTGTGTGTGTGGGGGGATGAGACTACTGCTCACTGAAAGGCTCAAACAGTATAATAAAAGGACTCTGCTCTTCTTCCTCTACAGTGTCCAGTGCCAGCATGACCAGACTTCGCTCACGGACAACGTCCAGTTCAAGTCTTATGTCCTTGGATGGCCCACGAAGCCGAGCACATACCAACGAGCTGCAACGTAGCCAAATAAGTTCACACAGCAACGACGAGAAGCGTGTACGCTCTCACACCGATGTTTCCATGGATAGTATTTCCAGTGTGAACCAGAGTGTCTCAAAGACCACCGAAGTGGCATGCTAGAGCACAGGCACTTCTAAGCCTCATGCACTTTTACCTCATCATAACTACCCAGGTGTATCTCACAGTCTTCTTAACTTTCCCATCTCTGGCCATCATCTTCCAATTATGCCCTTTCATTTGCACTATCTCTGCCTGAAAGGCCACAGGATATGCTTCCGTGTGACTTTCTCCATCCCCCCATTCGTTCTCAAATTTCCACTCTGTATGTTCTTAAACCTTCACTACTCTACTCTCTTCCTAATCACTCATACTTCATTTTCATTTCCTAAGCCTCTTTCTCTTTATACTGCACTGAACTATTATTACATGTCTCTTTGTCCTTCAATTTCTCTTTCTTTACCTTCATCCATTTCACTCTGTCTCTATTCATGTCTCTGACTGACCTTTTACCACAATTTCTGCTGCAGGCGTCCTTGGTTTGGATAAGAGTTCCTTATTTACTGATATTTATTATCAAATACAATGCATGAGAGGTTCATACAATCTGAATGTATTCACTAAAACTTGAAGTGTATTCACTATAGAGATAATAAAGATGTAGAAATATGGATTAACTGGTGCAGCAGTTGCATGTTTATTACCAGGAATGTATGTTGATTATATGCAGGTATGACAGCAGTGTATTATTAACTATTGGAAAATACCATGAATATTCACTGTAGTTCACAAAATGCTTACGCTTTAGTGAGAAGTTTTACATTAAGTTTAAAAATTAAAGCACTTTATATTTATAATATTAAAGCACAATTTAAACATTTTTGTGGTGTCAGTGAATAATTATTTCTCTAAGCACACTATAAAATATTACATTGAAATCCCTAAATACAAAAACAGAAATAAGTACAGCCAGATACCAACAATCAATACAATTACTGATAAAATATTGCACTCTGTCGACCATTTATGTAAAGAATCACTGTTCACAGCATCAGTTGCATTTCAGGGTAACTGTTACTATAATTCTATTTACTGCTCTTTGACTACTACTAAAAAAAAAATGCAGCTTGAAATCTGATTAATCATGGTGGTTGAATCTGAACGTCACAAGTTTGTGCCTGCAAAAAGCTGAGAGTGTGGAAACAGAAAGAAGTGAGCCTAGTGACTTTTGTGATAACACAACTGAGTCACAAACATCCAGTCTGAGCTCGAGTTACACGGCGAGTTTTGACAAGTACTTTGACAAGGTTTATTTTGTACTTTTTAAATCCCTCACCAAGAATCTGATAATACTGTCTATGTGCAATTCTAGGTACCTAAACTGCTCTATTTAAGTACAAAAAGACACTGGGGGGGGGGGATTTTAAATTGCATGTGTTACAAAAAAGAATGCCTTTGATGCCAAATGTGTCTTTTCTGTGATTCAGCTTGTTGCCTAAATAACAAGATATTTATAAGGTTGTAATAAATCCTAAAAACTCATGATATTTTATATGGCGCTTCTTCAAATGTACCACTAGATGGAAGCCTGTACCTCCTCTTTTACTCTGATATCATCTGCAGTCAGGCACCACTCAGGTTTATGCAGCCACACATAATCCTAACAGACTGTACTGTCTAAAAGAGCTGCACTGAAATCAGTCACATAGAGTCATCCTTCATCACATACTTGGGTTTTAACATTACTCTTCAATCTCAGTGTTATAGCTGGGTTTTTGTTTTCTTTGTTTTGTTGTTTTGTTGTTTTGTTTTTGTTGGGGGGGGGTATTTTTTATTGTTTACACAAGAAATTATGTGCCAAGCAAAAATAGCAGAGCTAAAGTGAATAAGAGGGGAAGCTGGAAAGAATTGGACACAGTTTTAAATGTGATTCTTTTTAAATAACCCCTTTAAATCTGGTAACAAATTGTAATGAAATGTATTTCTATTCAAACAACTGCCAGTCATTATTTTACAAGCCAAATATTTTATACAATATAAATGCATTTATTTGGCCACTGCAGCAGGGTTTTTTTTTCTGAAACCAGTCAATTAAACTGTGATTTGACTTTCTACCACTCAATAACACAGCAGAAATGTATGTGTTATACAAAGCCTTAACCTTCTTACGATTCCTTTTAGATTAAGCACAATGTTTTTGTCCCAGTAGATGCCAAGGTGTGTGACGTGCATACGTGGGCTGCGCTGCCACGTAATCACGGCATTGTGAGTTAATCCAAGTGTCACCGTCTCTTGCATCATAATTTGCATCACACGTGTGCGTGGATAAAAATAATCTCTGTATTCAGAATGTGTCTGCATGAATGTGTGTTTGCATGGGCATAAGCTGGCTGCATGCATGAATGTAGTAGATGTGTAGGTCGGACTGTATGTGTGAGGAGGGGGGAGCTGTGTGAGTAGATGGATTGTTTTGGGCTTTGGCTGCGAGACAGTGGAGATACACAGTTAGAGGAAAACAAAGCAGCCAGCATCAAAGTCAATAATTGTGTGTGTGTGTGTGTGGGGGGGGGGGATCTTTATTTCAAGACCTCTTTTGTTTGCCTTACATCATAAAGCAATGATGAATAATGTATGACATAAATCTCTTAAGATTGAATTTAAACATGAGCTCTAGCACAGCTGTAGGTTCGCTGTGTCCTTTATTTTACTGTTCCTCTGTGTAGTGTGTTCCACTATGAAAGTACAGAAAACTTAAAGCTTCCATCAGCACTGACATACATTTGTGAAACTCACTGTACATCTTTTTATTCAGTGAAGAAGCAAAGACGCACGGTTACAGACAAACGGTGTTGCAGTTTGATAGTGGCAATGACAGCTTTACTTCATCCTGCTCTGACAGTCCCTCCCGACACAGACACATGCACCTCTTAAATCTTAAAATCAAATAAAGGTGTACTTCAATGTGTGCACATACTTTAGCCAGATTTAGCGAGGACTCAGTGTTTGATTTCTAATGTTTATGTCTAAAATAGAGCTTGTCAGCAACCATATATACAGTAATTTCATGAAGTGCTATTGTTTGGATGCCCTATTAACTAGAACCAACTGCAAGAAAGAATCAAAACCTCAGAACATAATGTGTTTTCTCCTTAATATGGCAAAAATATGGGCTCAAAATAATTTCCCTCCACGGCACTACAGAACGTCCTTTTTAACTGGTCATAAATACGTAAAACAATAAAATACCACCATAGTATGTTAAATGTGTGGATTTTTAAGACCCCAAGATTAGTGTACAATATAAGGCGGTTTTACTCTCCTGTGCCATTTTTCTTCATGTGACAAAATAAATAGGGGGATAGTGTAGTACTCCAAAATCTGGATCTCATATGCAGAAAGATTTGGGGTCCCTTGATGCAGGCGTGGACACGTAGGGCCCCTCTCCTCCTGTCAATGAGCCCTGCCAGCTGCAGCCATGTTGTAAAGGATCAGGCTCCTCCAGCAGCAGCAGAGGCAGCAGCAGTGCTAACAGCTAGCGTCAGTGGACACCGACTACCGGGCACGGCGCTGTTGTGGACAAAAACAGACAGGGGAGAGGGACCTGGAGCACAGAGACATCCATCTAGCCGGTTCCTATTATCAGTGGATGTGCTAATAAAATTCAGACGCGCTGGCTGGATAAGGTGTCCGGTTACGGAAAGTAGGTGCGGTCGGGCTCCAGGGCTGAAGCGGGTGAGTATTGATCCCTCTTGGGGGCGAACTGAGTGGGAATAGCCCTGGGTTAGCTTAGCTAGCTTAGCATTAAAGGGGGTAACATACACACACACACAGACAATGGGGGTTAACGACAATGCACTTAGGTGTGGGTGTGTTTTTAGGAGCTGGCATGAGGGTTTAGAGTGAATTAGCTGATGTGAATTACAAGTCGTTTTATACACGGCGGAGTAATTTGTATTCCTAACAGACAGACAGTGGTGCAGTGGCCGAAACCACCCCTCTGTGTTTCTCCGGTGGGTGCAAAGGTCCAAACCAGGCAGGATTTCTGTCATGCGGAGTAACAACGCCTTTGCAAAACAGCTGTGTTTTGTTGAGCAGTGAGTGGCTCACACTGAGACTTATCTTTTGCAGGCAATGGTTTGGAGACAAAAGGGGGAGGCAGCCTTTACTTAAACCTGAATGTCTCAAGTGTTTTGGGGGCTGTTTGCTGCCTTGTCAACCTCAATATTGCACACTGATCACTGAGCTAGGCCGATTGAAATGGATTAATATTTGAGCAGATCCTGTGGGGTTTTTTGTGTGTTTTTTAGGGCCACAAATCATTCGTGAGCGTGCTTGATGGGATTAAACAGAAATCTATGCATAATGGTAAACCTGACAGAATTAAACCTGGTTCACAGCTTGGTGCCCAGCAGCTCTGTGGTTGAAGGTTTGTCAGTTATTTGCTTTTTTTGATTTCAGGTTTTTTTTAATCCAAGCTGCCCTGATTTGTCTCCTACAGATGTCTGTTTTCCTGATGCTTTGCCGTCTTGTTTCCTGCCTTTATGTGGCTGTTACCCCAGATCACATCCCTGCAAACATCCTCTAGCAGCAAAAACCACTGGGTCAGGAAACCAAAGTGTGTTCGCAGATATTATGATGTGATCATGGACAAAATAACCATGCTTGACATGGAATATACTTCTCTCCTGAAAAAGGGATATGACCACTTTTTTTTCTTAGTGAATTATCAAGAAATGTCAGTTTCTGGTACAATTTCCCTTCCAGCGGATGCCTTTCTGTGTAGATACTATTAAAGCACTCATTAATGTTTGCTCGAGTGCACATCCCACCAGTGCAGCAGTTGTTTTTTTCACTTCTCTGTTTTTGACTGCATATCAAGCACATTTTTCATTATTCTGAAAAATTGTGCACACGTGATGATCATGCATGAGTTTTTATTTGTAGAAGTGATGCTTGAAAGGGAAAGGAATGGCTTTGTTTCCGTGTCTGCTGCTTGGTCTCCTCACCTTTTCTCTTGTTACTTCCACTGAGATGAAGATGCATGAATGGGGAAACAACAATTCGGATATTGGATTGATTTTTTCCCCTTATCCCTTTCTTTAGTGATGATGGGTCTCACAAATTCGACAGGCAGAATGGTGGGATATGATGGGAGAGTTAGTTGGGGAAAGAATGAGAATCAAGCATTTAGAAGGAGGAGGCAGCAGTTTGGAAATGAAACTCAGCCCCCCAGGTGTGTCAGTCCTAAACATTCAGTGGGCGGGTGTTTTCACTCTCCTATAAGTGACAGCATACAGTACAACTAGGAAGTGCAGAGAGAGAGGAGAGGAACGCACACACATTCATGATTTAGCGGTGGACCGGGCCTCTGCGTACTGACTGCCAACATGCAGTTCTGGGATTTCCTGGGTTGCACCAATGGAGGTATGTATGTGTGCGGTTATACTGATGGCTTTGTGAATCTTCTTGCTGTTGATTGGATCGGTGTGTGCTCTGTGCGAGGCAGGTAGAGAGGGTCTGGCAGGCAGAAAGCTGGAAAGGAATTTGTTCTGTGCACTGCTGTGCAAGCAGTTGCATGTGAAAAACCTCACAGACAGGTAAAGAGTGGAACACAAACAAACAAGATTAGGGGACTGATAAGGTGTCGGCCCATTGTGTTTTATTTGTTAAACCTGGTTGGTTCCTTCTCATTTTTTTAGATTAAGTGGCAGAGATCTGTTTGTTTGTAGCTTTAAGCCTAAATTAAAAAATCTTTTTCTTATTTTGCTGAATCGACGTAACTTATGAATCATAGCGTGACTGTGCGCTGTCCTGTCTGCACGAAGCGTATTTAAACTTTTCTTGGGAACAACTCTGAAACCCTCTCAGCTTGACGTTCGGTTATAACAAAGACTGCTGTGATTATAGTTCCTAAACGTTGCTCTCATAGTTTAGAGGAACTGGCACCTATGTCAATGAAATCCAAAAGCTAAACCTGAGTAGGTTTAACTCTTAGCGAGATGATCACATGTAACCCTGACTTTTCTTTTCTTTTTTAAATCCTAACCAGCTTTTCCTAAGTTAAAACTGTATCTAAGTCTTTATTCATACAGACAGCTTTTTAAGGTGGTTTAAAAAGCATATTGGAGTCCAAGCTTGTAGTCTTCTTTGTTCAGCCACATTTGGTTATACTTGCACCGCAAAGAGTTAAACATCAGATTTCTTGTTTTGTACAACAACTGCCCACAGTTATCAAATGTCCCTTTTTTCTTGTTCAGAGGACTGTAAGTAGCTGAACAGTTTTTCATATTGCCTTTATAGCTGAAAATCAGATTGTCCCTACGCCTATAGAAAAAAGGGAATTCAGTGTGTTTGTGTCTGCAATATTAGCTTACATATAAGACACAAACACACCCGTAGAATCTATAAAGGATATAAAACTCCAGCTTATGATCTCAGTTAAGTTGTGTTGTCTCATGTCTTGCCTTAAATGTGGTTACTTGATTGTGCTGCATTGAATTCCAGGACACTTCGAGCTCCAACACCCATCCTGTGCCCCAGGCCATGTTTTCTGCTATTGCGCCAATAACTATAACTAAGATACCTGATGGCTTGTGTCATATTTTTCACGCTTACAATCACAAATAAAAAGTAGCTTTTGCTTTAAACGCTTCCTTAGCTGAAGCAGCTATCCATAAACTTTCCAAGTTTGTAAAGTGACAGATTAAACATGAGGTCATAGGATATACAATATGCTTAACTGTAGCCATATAGACGTTTAATTTCTGCTACAAATCTTGGAGAACAGTGTTACAGTTGGTTTGTTGAAGTTGTTGCCATATTTTCAGGTAATACAGAAGGAGGCTGTCTTGAAAGATCAGTGACTGTATGACTGGAAGCGAGCGCTCGTGTGTCACCATCAGTCTGCCCTTATTTGCATCTACAGCTCACTGTTTTGCTTAAGTTATTCCATGTGGGTCAGCACTGACTGCCTGTGAGACGTTCAAATCAATTTCAGGGCCTCATTCTAACATAATTTTGCTGTTTAGCTTTCATAGTTTTAAAGCCTCTTCTAAGGAAATGTATGCACAGTGCATCTGACTCTTGCCTGTATCTGACAGCGCTTTTCTTTATGTAATTAATAGGTAATTATTTAGATAATTATTTTTCAATTACAGTTTTGCCTTCCTAACATTATACAAACAAGAATCATTATAATGAAGATAAAATTCCTGCGTTCTGTTTTGCAGTCGTACATTTGTTTTGTTGTAAATACAACACATTCCTTTCCTGTACAGCTGTGGCTTTTGCCCCCATCTAAACTCAGACTCACTGTGGCAGGTTTAGATCAATCCACATGAATATTTTTCAAATTTAAGAAGGTCCACTGTGAAGATATTTTCACAGACAAAAAAAGTTTAACAGTTACGTTATTCCAAAATCCATTATCTATCATATCATTATTAACAAAGTGATTATGATCATGATTTTTCATTTCTTTCTTTTTTTTGCCATAGTTGGGTAGTTCTCAGTTTGCTGAACAAGTATGGCCTGTTTCAAAGGGTTGCCAGCAGAAAGCCACCTCTCACTAAAAAGAACATGGCAGCACAGCTTCGGTTTGCAAAGTTGCATCTGAGCAAACTACAAGACTTCTGTAGATGTTTGGCCATAGTGCACAGCACCATGTTTGGCGAAACAGAAACACACCATTCTAGAGCAAACACTTCATAGCAACTGTCATCAAGATGGTGGAGTCGTGATGATCGTGGCCACAGCACCTGGACATCTTGCAGTCATTGAGTTGAGCGTGAGCTCCTCTGTATATCAAAGTATTCTGAAGTCAAATGTGAGGTTGCCTGACTGACACCTGAAGCTTGCCTGAAACTGGGTCATGCAAAAGGACAATGATCCCTAACACAACACCAAATCTATAACAATGGCTGAAAAAGAAAAGAATTAAGGTGTTGCAAAGCTTAGAGCTGTAAACAAATGCAAATAAATAAGCAAATGCCAATCAACCTCAAATGAACTGAAGTAACATGGTACAAACTACTGATTCATGGGATGTATTTATTTTTTTCACTGTGAAAACTTTCACATGACTCTATGCCATCAGGATGTCTTGCAAACGTGCAGTATTAGACTGAAATGGCAAAGACTAAATGGGAAATCAAACTGAACATTTTAGAAAGAATTACATGACAGTCAGTTAGTATCCATATCTGTGTTCAGTCCAGAATCAGTCCAGACTGCTATGTTATAATATGTTAAAAGTCAAGTCCTTCACCTCACACTGACTTGTATAAAAAGGTGTGAGATGATTAGCAAATATGTATTTATAGAAGAGATTAAAAAAGGTATGCCATTGACATTACAGATTAATGTTTCCGCTTATAAGCTTGTGTAAGAAAATGAAATGAACCTCAAGTGTTTTGAAACTAGGTTTGATATAGTCATCTGTGATCGGTCACCTTGGCTGTGAAGGTTCTTGGCTCATAGGTCTATTTAATGCTAGACAGTATTTTTTTTTAATAGAATAAATGGATTGTGAGGTATTTTATGTAATACATATATTAGATCAAACGTTTTGGGTAACTAATCCCTTTTTCTCAGTTCCTGAAAGTATTCTAAGATGAGATGGTTCTGCTAGACCCCGGTGCTGCTGTGGTTTGGTTTAATGTGTTTATAAATGTTAACTTTGGGGCAGTGTACTGCACACTGAGGTAGAGCCATAAAATGGCTTATAAACGAAAGAAACTATAAATCTATTAAATCGGTGGAAAACCTGCAAGAACAGGAGGGAATAAAGTGGGTATCTGAGAGTGCATACTGCACACGTGCCTCGTAAAATCACAGATTTGATATGAAGTCAAAAACATTTACTCTTTAAATAAAGAAAATAATGTGATCTGAAATTTAATCATTAATTTGTTCAGCCAGAGAGAAGACGTGATCCAACTTCACAAGGCGCTGACTGGTTTCAAAAAATAAACCTGTCTCACCAGTCACTTTATTAGGTACACCTGTTCAACTTCTTGTTAATACAAATACCTAATTAGCCAATCAGATAGAAGTAAGTTAGCACATTTAGGCATGGTGAAGATGACCTGCTGAAGTTCAAATTGAGCCTCAGAATGAGGAAGAAAAGTGATTTTAAGTGACTTTGAACATGGCATGGTTTTTTACACAACACATCAAACGTAGATACAGATTAGCTTCAGCAGCAGATGACCACACCAGCCGAAGTAACCTATGAATTGAGGTTACCGTTGCACAGGTTCACCAAAATTGGAAAACGGATAATTATAAAAACATTGTCTGATCTGAGGGGTCTTGATTTCTGCTGTGATGCATGAATGATCAACCAACAGGCATTGATCCACTGTGTGAGTTGTTTGAAAATATTTTCTTGGCTCACTTTGGGTCCCTTGGTAGCCTTGGAGCAAAAACCACACCCTACCTGGATATCGCTGCTCACCATGTCCACCTCTTTATGACCACAGTGTGCCCATCATCTGATGGATACCTCCAGCAGTGTAGCACACCATGTCACAATGCTCAGATAATCTCAGACTGGTTTCTTGAACAAGACAAAGAGTTCTCAAATGTTTCCAAGTGGCCTATCTGGAGCATCTTTGCAATGTGGTGGAACGGGACATTCCTATCGTGGATGTGCAGTCAACAGGTGTACGGTTACCATCTGATGATGTCGTGCCAATGCGACCAAAATCTCAGAGGAATGTTTTCAGCGCCTTGTTGGATGCAATGAAGAATTCGGGCAATTCTAAATAAAAAAGTAAAAGGAATCCAACCTACTACTGACAGGATATACCTAATACCTAGTTCTTTAAAGGTCCATTTGAGTTTAAGTTGTAATGTCTTCAGGTTCTTATTTTTGTTTTTCTTCTCTAATGTTATAGCGGTAGGTAAAAATGTAATTAAATAAAGTCCTAAGAATTTTTTTGATTCTTCTGCTGAATTGAGTTCGTGTGACTGCACTGGAAAGTGTATCAGTGAACATATTAGCTGCTTACTTTTGGCTGCTCCCTTATTCACAAGGGGCTGATTAATTTGGCAGCTTTTTCTTCTTAATATTTCTAACACTGGATGACCTTCCTGATGGGGAACAGAGAGATCTATAGAACCAGCTATATATTGCTGATTAGGTGAATACATAAACCACTATACTGAAACTACTCTGGCTTCTGTTGGTCTGTGTATTGTGAGTAGGCTATAAAGGCTACTACACAAGTGTTTCAGGTGAAGAAAACTTAAGCTTTGTATCATCAGCAAATCTTCATTTTTTCTGCTTAACATTAAAAATCCAGATGTGAAGAACTCCTCTGGTGTAAATGAGAACTTCCCTTCCTTGTGGTCTCAATACTGCAATAAACCTTTTTTTTTATAGCTGCTACATACAGGGACAACTACCTCATTAAAGCCTTAGCTGCCACTGTGGTGACTGCTCTGATGCTGCACTCAGTTCTGTTCCCTGCTATTCTGTTGTACTGTGTTCTGACAGGCTGATCAGTGCAAAAGGCTGTTGTTGTTTTCATGATGAGAATGGAGTTGTGCAATGCCCTTAGCATGGTGTCAACTGGTGTAGCCTCTGCGATTTACAGCCAGAGGCAATAGCTTTTTCACTCTGAGTGGGAAAGCAAAAGAATAGGGGCCGAGAGCATGAGGGAGCAAATATGATAGAGTAGGAAGGAGAAGCGCTGAAGTGTGTTTATGCAACTGAAAATGTCTTCAGCGGCTCTATTGACAGATGTATCCTCTCTAACAGGCTCTAGTCTGGGGACATTATTTGTGGATTTTAAAAGTTTGATTTGGATTTAAATCATTTCTCGTGACAAAGACAAGTCTGTTGAACTACATATGAAGATGTTTTGTGTCTGTGTTGTACTAATGTTGCCATGCATACGGTAAATGTTTAAAATATGTGCAGCTGTATTTATCACATTTTAAAGAGCAGTGGCGGTTTGGGATATTACTCTTTGATGTATATTTTTAAATGTCAAGAAACATTTCGATACATCCTTAATCCTTTGGTGTTCTTTGCTGAATGTACCGCCAGTTCTAGCTTTAAATTGCCGACAATCCACCATGTTGCGTTTATCGGTATTGAATATTACATTCGGTGTGAGGTACAGCGGAGAATAATGCCAGGATTGGAGTTGTGCTGCTTTTTGTAACAGCATGCTACTTGTAGCCAGCGCTTTGGACTCAACTCTGTCAGGAACAAACAGGATTATGTGTTTACAGGAAATTACTGTGTGTAAAGTGGTAGAGCATACTCTGAGCATCAGTGAACCAATGAGAAGTAATAAAAAACACACCATAAAATGTAACTTATTGGAATCCACGGTAAGTTATTACACGGTATCCATCCATCCATCCTATTTTCTGCCCTTTAACTGGTGACAAGCGCAGGAGGACATTGAGGTGTTCCCAAGCCAGCCGGGAGTATGTCCTAGAACTGTATGAGAGACTCCTTTTAGTAGGACATGCCAAAAACACCTCATCTGTGATGCCCTTTTCAGATGCCCGATGTGGGAAAAGAAGCGGTTCTGCACTGAGCCCCTCCTGAATGATTAAATCCCCTACCTTGTCCTAAAGGGAGAGCACAACGTTATTTCAGCGGAAGCTCATTTTCACCGCCTGTGTCCCTAATCTCATTCTTTCAGTCTCTACCTATAACTTGTGGCCGTAGGTGAGGTCAGGGAACATACATAGACCGATAAATCGACAGCTTCACTTTCACGCCCAGCTCTGTCTTCACCACGGCAGATTAGTAAAGCATCTGCATCGCTGCCAATCCACACTGATCCATCTATCATTCTCCCACTCCACTCTCCTCTCACTTGTGAAAGAGACCCCAATAAACTTCTCCATTTGGGAGAGCAGCTCTATGACCTGGAAAGGGAACTCCACGCCCTTTCTGGCTGAAAACCGTGGCTCGAGACTTGGAGGTGCTAACTCTCCTTCCCACCATTTCACACTCGACTGCAAACTACCCCAGTGTGAGCCAGAGGTAGATGTCTGATGAAGCCAAAAGATCTACATAATCCACAAAAGGTATTCCTGAGGCCACCAAAGCATTCTGCCACTGTATAGCAGTACAGTACATGCTATACTGCAGTGTTATTTATGTCAGAATTGTGAGTAAGCGCAGTTTACTAAAGATCTTAGCTTTAATACCACAGATTTTATTCAAATGATAGATTAAATAGTAAAGCCAGCACTGAAAAGCCTCAGGAGGTGACTCTAGTGGAAAAACAAGTCAGGCTTTATAGAAGTAGGTGGGGAAAAACAACTCTGGCTTCCCTGATGTTTGACCTCCGTAAACACTTTCCTAATTAGTTTATGTTTGCAATTGCTAGGCTCAGGTCTTATTAAATAAAAGATGATGCTTATTTGGTAAATTATGGTGTTTATCAGAGATAAAAAAGAATAATCAGGCAGGATATGCTTTAGGGTGAGCCTGCTTTGTATGAGTGTAGTCTTAAATTTCCAGTTTTAAAACTGCGCGATTGTGACAGTGGAAGGCTTCAGGGCTTCAAAATGAGACTTCATGAACTTATGGCTATATCTTCCACGTTCTATATACAGTGTATTATTAGTGTTGCATTTATTTAATTTTGAAATATTTTGTTGTAAAACAGTTATGTTGTCTGACAGCATATTGCAAGAAGATATTCACACATGTTCCAGTACCAAATTCATACTAATTACATTAAGTTCTTATCATAGTATTACATGTTGTTTGTTGCCTATTGAAAATGAACTTATTTGTCTTCTGCTAATAGCAGACAGTGTTTGCATCTGTCTTTGAATGAAACTCTAAAATTATGCCTTTTCTGTTACCATTCTCTTACACTTATTCTATCTCGTCTCAGGTGTTCACTAAGAAGCTGTACCAACCAAAAATGATTTGGCTGTTTTCCATCTGTGGCCACTTCATCTAATTCCTTTGTGCAACTGATAAAAATAAAAATATTTAGCTTGCACACAGCCTAAAGTGAGTCCTTAATATTGAATCAGTGCACACCTCCAGCTTAAAAATGATTATTAATGAAGCCAACAATTACTCATCCCAGTCTAATTGGGTATAGCTTTATTAAATGCAGGTTGGTGACGTGCTTCTCAACACAATTTTCTAGAGAGACTGTAACACAGTACATACCTGAACCCTGATGTGCTTCAAGTTGATACAAAGTAACATAAAACTGTATGGAACTAGGACTAACCTTTTTTTTTCCCTACACATATTATAAAGACAAAGCCTCAGCATCCTTATTAGCACCACAGCCTGTTGTCTGTTGCTTAGTAACCGATGTCAGCTTAGCTTCAGAGTGTTGGACATTTCTGCATAATGTTCAGTTTGGTTTCATTGTTGTATGAGAATCTAGAGAGTGAAAGTATGGGAGAGAGGAGCGTTAGGCAGAGAGGTCAGGGGACAGATTGAGATTTGAATGTGAGCTGGAGGTGAAGCTGTTATAGCATGACAGCGCAGATATATTCTGCCAAGTCATGATTCTCGCCTCGCTCCATCCGTCTGGAACGCAGCTCACATCAAATCCTCTTCATTCATCACTGCTGCTGTGTGCTCAGTGCTGACAAACGTGTAAAGAAGTGAAGTGATGAGCATGATTAGAAATTCATTTTTGTGTGTTCAGAATTAAATTGGGACTTTTGGAGTAGTCAGCATCCTCTCTGGTGAAACCTTTGGTAGTAATGATATCTGTTGTTTTATTTTTTACCTGTCAAGCTCTTCTATTAAGTCTTCTTTTGTCTCTTAATTAATTTTTCTTTATTCTGCTGTACAGTACCTCTGAAATGTTAAAGTAGTTTCAAGTTATCCATGCATGAAAAATCATCTTCTGTCAAGTACTGAATGAGATGCCGAGAAAAATGGCTTTAAAATGTGCTAATTTTGTGGTTTTGGTCACAGACAAGTTTTAGAGAATATCTACCCCATTTACAGCTGAGTGCTGTAGCGAGAATAATGCAGGATGTAAGTCACTGAGTCGTTTTCACAAATTTATCAATTAAGACTTTTTTTTTCTCCCTCTCTCTTTCTTTTCGCAGACATTTCCAGAATATCATACTATGCCGGTGAGTACAATTTGAATTGTTTTCAATATATAAAGGTATTATGTCTATTTTCTATCAACTAATGATAGGAATTTTTAAAAAAAAACTATTGAGTTTAATTGAGTTTAGGAATCAATTCTGTGAAACTAAAAAAAAAAAAAGTAATATCAAGGTATTGTCAAATTTCCTAGATGTGTATTTTTAAAATACATACTCATGTTCTATCAAAAAAAGTAAAATCGTGGAGCCCTTTCTTTATTAACTTTCTAGCTTTTTATTTCACAAACTGATGAGCAAATTAGTGTTTGTCGCCCTGCTCAGCTGTGATGTAGCATATGCTGCTGGAAAAACTATGACATGATTTGTAAATTACTCCAAACATCTTTTTCTGTTCTGTAGAAGATATTTTCATACTGGTGTATGTTGGTAAGGATTTACCATTATTTGGCTAAAATATATCAGCAGGCTTTATTTTAAACATTGTTTAAATCATGTAAAATATTTAAAGCCAGTATAAACAATGCAGGCTAATATGTGAAGTATACAGTACATGAATGGTTATATCAGCTTTATTTTGAATATACTTTCCTTTTGCAACCTTTTTGTTGAATAAAAGTGGATATTGTACATAGTTTGGTTTAGAGCACTTGTACAGAGGTGCTGTTCTGCTTTTTCCTTTTTATTTTTAAATCAGATGTTATTTGATATTATTGCCGACTTAAACAAGGCCAGTGTTACTGAGAGCGGTTTGAAGTTGAGCGGAATAATTTTAAAGGTATAGATGAGACATTTTATAGCCCTTAGCACCAGTATCTTTCCATAGCTGTTGCTAGGTAACTGTTGATCCTACTGTATGTCTACAAGCAGGATGCTGAATATTCTGAGCTGAGAAAGACCAAAACAAAATTTACATTTCTTAACTCTGCTAAATGCTAAAGTTGAAGTTAGCACAAACCTGTAATCACATGAAGCTTCCTCAGTTTGCTGGAAAACGACAACAATAAACCATCCAGCGTGCAGACTGGCAGAATGTAACCTTTGTGGCTGATAATGGCACAGGGTAAACTTCCTCTATAACACCTTTTGGACACAGTTTCTGTCCTGTAACAGTCAAATAGTGATATGATGCAAAAAACATAAAACAGAAAGATCCCAAGTCATTTCTTTGCAGTAGTAGCATTACACTTTCTCCTCTCTGTTTGCACAGCATGTATCCAGAGCCAAGTTTTAGAAATGCACTCCCCGGCCACTGCATTAGTTACGCACACATTGCTAGTGCTGGCTAGGACCTCCTTTCGCTTCCAGAATTGGCTTAATTTGTGTCATAGATTCAACAAGGTGCTGGAAACATTCCTCTGAGATTTTGGTTCATAATGGCGCAGTGGCTGCAGACATCTATGGTGTGAATATCCCATTCTAGTACATCTCAACGGTACTCTATTGGGTTAAGATCTGGTGACTGTGGTGGCCAGTGAACTTCTGTTATGGAGAAATCAGTTTGAGATGATTTGAGCTTTGTGATGTCTTAATCTGAGGAAGCAGCCATCAGAAGATGGGTACACTGTGGTCATAAAGGGATGCACATGGTCAGCAGCAATTCTCAGGTCGGATGTGGTTTTTAAACATTGCTCAGTTGGTACGACAAACATTACTGTGCACCACAACCAGCAGCCTGAACCTGTGATACACGGCAGGATGGATGTCTGCTTTTATGCTGGGTACGCCAAATTTTGACCTAGCCGTCTGAATATTGGATCAAAAATAGAGGCTCGTCAGTTCAGACAATTTTTTTCCATTATTCTGTTATTTAATTTGGTGAGCGAGAGTGAATTGTAGCTTCAGTTTCCTGTTCTTAGCTGATACGAGTGGCATTCGATGTGGGCTTCCTCTTCCATCCTGGTGCACAGTTTGAACTTCATAGCCTCTGTTGACATTACATTAATTAAGAGTCTTAATCAGGTATACCTAAAAAAGTGGCGGTAACTGTGATGGTCTGAAAAGTGGATACACGTATGTCAAAAAGACAAAATAAGTTCGCGAATTTATTGTAATAATTTTATTTTCTGAATATTAAACACAAAAAGTTGCCTTTTTGATATATTCGCAGAATTAACTAACTAAGAATGTTTGTGCTATTCTATTTGGTTTACTTTTTTGTTCAATAAAAAAAGTAAAGTAGACATCCTAGCATTTAAACACGTTTCCTGTGTGGCTGGGCATACTCGGTGAGTAATTGCTTGCAGCGCTTAGCCACTAGAAGCTTAGCTGTAAAGCGTTCACAACATCTTGTGCGCTGTCACATTAGAGGGATTGAATGTTGGAGTGCTTTGCTGCCAGTGAAGCTCGCAGGCTGCAGGAGCAGGTGAAATATGTGTGGAGAGGAGGAGAGCGTGGACAGAGGGCAGTGTAGACCTGCTGAGGGCTGCAGAGTCAAAAGGGGGAGGGATGGTGTAGAGAAATGTAGACAAACAAATGTCGTAAGTGGTAGGAGAGTGGAATGTGTGTTTTCAGTGGCTAATCACTAATCTTGGTAAAACCGTGGGTGTGTGTGTGACAGGTTTGTGTGTTCATATAATTGTTTATTAAAGTCACCGGGTCCTTTTTAGCATTCTGTCCAATCAGCTCACCTACTTTCCACTGCATCAAGTCTCATTTACAATGTTTATATCTATCTTTCTTCCTGCTTCTCTTCCATGTGCCCCCCCGCCCTGCCTTACACACACGCACACCTCTGCAAACACACCAACATCCCCCTCCCCTCCATGGTTGTGCCTGTTAGCAATCCGAGCAGCTTTTTCGCAGCGTGGTCGCAGCAGCTTAAACCTAAAACACAGCAGAGGAGAAACACTTGGCTCACAGACGCGCACTCTCACTTTTTGCTGACACTCACACGCAGTCACTTTGATTTCATATTTCCTATGCATTTCGCTCTCGCTCTCTCAGACGCGCACACACACACACACATATGGGAACTCTAATACACCCTTTTTGGCTTACACTCAGTCTGATCTTCATGCTTTTCGGTGCACTCATTTTGACTCCCTAAAGATTTTGCTGGATGAGCAGTCTGTGTGTGCGCGTGCGTGTGTTTGGGTGTATCTGTGTATGTCTGAGAGGTTGGAAGTTATGTTGTAACTGCTCTCGCTTCTTTTCCGCCGCCACAGAAGAAAGACTAAGCAACACGCCGCTGCCTGACTTCGAAATGGATTTACAGCATCAAACCTGCTCTTGCTAAATATTTTTTCCTTTTTTTAGTCCTGCTTCCATCCTGCTCTTCTTTTTTTCTTTTCTTCATTCACTTATGTCCCGCTCTAGCGTCAGATACCTGCTCTGACCTGGTTAACTCCTGCTGGCTCTGAGCATTGTGGGAAAGCTTTGGAGGACGTGAGGCTCAGCTTCTCCCTGAGGTTTCTCTGCTTCTCTTTCATCATTCCGCTCGCTTCATTTCTTCTCTTTTTTTCCCCATCTCAAAATGTTCTTTTCCACTCATCTTTAATTCTAACTGTATCTCATTTTTCTAATTTTTATTTCTTTCCGCTTTATGTCTTTGCTCTTTCTTTATCCCCCTTGCTTCAGTCACTCTTATTTTCCTCTCCCTCACTAGGCTCATTTTCTGTGCCCTACATTTTTGTGTCTTTTTCACTGATGCCTGTTTCTCTGGTCTCCTTGCTGTGATCTGCATTGCCATCCCCTCTGGACAGCATTGTGGATTTACAGAACAGAACTGCTACCTTCCTTTGGAAAATGATCGCTTGATGTGATTTTATGGAGTCCTACGTATCCAGTGAGCGCTGTCACTTTTATTTTGTATCCTGGAAATTTGACGTGTAATGCCAAACCCCGGTGGCTGAAGATTTATGGCTGCAGGAAAGAAACCTTTGAGTTTATTATCAAGGATTGATATATTGGATCACTAACTCCCTACCGATGACCTGAATTTGATATTTTGTGGGAATTTATTGGCCTACAAGATGGCCTAATAGGGAAGGAAATCATCAGTCATGAGAATCTTTTTCTGGAAGCTTCCAGTGAAGTGTCCTTGAGCAAATTACTGAATTATCTCTACCCTCAGAGGCTCAGTCTCCTTGGGGTGAAAGAGCTTCCTGACAGAGGATCGTTACATATTACGTTGCAAAATTTTCTGTGTGAAAGGACATGGCAAGAGTCAGACCGGCTGATTACTAACCAGGATTCCAAGTTGATGACTCCTGAAGTGGAGTAATGTTTCAAAAAGCTGTGGAGAAATGAGTTGCAGTCTTGTGATTGGAGCTTGGATTTTCTCACCAAATATTAGACATGAAATATTTATAAATTAGATTATTATGCACAAGAAGCCCTGATGGACCTCTGTGTCAGTATTATTTAAAAGCTATTTGATTTTCTCTATCAGCTGCACTTTTAGTCTAATGTAGTGACTGCTACAGCATAGACAGCAAGCCTGCCAGTGTTTTCTCTGTTTGATGTGTCGTCAGTACAAAAGATATTTGACACTCTTTATTTCCTCCTATTAGTTTATTTCCTTTACTGGCATTACTTTCAATTCTGGGATGCTAATTGATTTTTTTTTTTTTTTTTACTACGATTTTTTTTTTATTTTTACAATCAATAAGCTTTTTACCAAAAAGACTCCAGTCACCAGCACAACAAATTCCCACTGTTTTTCACATCTTGTTGATTTTTTTTTTTTTTTAAACGGGTGTCTTCAGATTTATCTACCTGGAATCTTTTTTTTAATTGTTGCATAAAGCCCAATGAGGAATTGCCCCTAGTCATAGGCTCTATGCTGTTTTTAGGGCCCAGTAGTTTTGTCTGGGCCCCGTGGGCACACCTGGAATTGCTCCCCCTACAGTACAAATGGAGAGCAGCGGCTGCATCCCTCTCTGCTGGACCAAGGGGGGGTGCATTTATGCACAGCACCCCTTACCAAGTAGGTATTAAGAAGCATCAGTAGAGAAATTGGATATGTATACTATGCATTGTCTAGTTAGTACTTTCTGCTGTTTATTTCACTTAATTCTCGCTCTTTATGACTATAACATTAAATCCATAATAATTGGTGATGCAGTATCTTGAAGGCAGTGTACTGTTCTTTCATTAGGTGCATATATGGTAAATGATTGTGTTTGCCAGTGGATATAGGTATCCTGAACAAGATGAATTGTACTTTTCATCACGCTGAGCTTTGGGTGTTTTCACAGTATGCTACAGGCATAATGATCTGTACTGTTTCTGTTTGCTGTCAGAAAATGTCAGGTCCAGTTGCAACAATGGCTGAACTTAACTTAGTTAGTTGCCGACGCTGTCTAATAAGAGTGTATGTCAGTCTATGTTTACAGCACTTGAGTCAAACCTCGGTTGCTGTATTTGTACTTGCAAGACACAACAAGTTGCTCCTGATGCACTGATTGGAGTGTGAGTGTTAGATAGAAACAGATTAAAAAAACGTGCTTATGTGAATGAGACATGTTGTATAAAGTGCTTTTAGTGTTAAAGTAGTATATATGGTTGCTTTTTTGTCAGTATTAAACTGTTGAAATATTTGCAACTAATGTTTAGCCTTCACATGTCTGCTCCTCAGTCTAATATAGATTATGCGTATCCTTTGAAGTAGCGAGAGAAATACGTGGAGAGGGGGGAAGCAGAGGAAATTGAAGATGAGAGGAAGATGAGAGGGAGGAAGGAGGAGAGGTGGTTCAATAGGACAGGAGGATCAAATGGACTTGTGAAGGCAGTGGCTAAAAGGTCTGTAAGTATGTGAGAAGAGAGAAGGGATGTGTTTAAGAGGATGAGAAGAAAAGAGCAGATGAGGAGTGAAAGCATGGGGAAAGAAGCTTTTGGGAGTTTTGATACATGAGAAATGGAAGTAAACGGAAAAAATTGTGACATTTTCAGAACGATAGGCTTGATGTGAGAGATGTGAACAAGTGAGGAGGAAGAAAAGAGAAAGGCAATGGTACAGAGATGGCGATGGCAAGCCACTGCTGCCAAGCCTCTGCTTCCCCAGGGTTGTGCTATCCCCAGTAACCCAGATACCCGTTAGAAAAGGAGATAAACCGTCCTCCAGCTGCTGCTGCTGTGGGACTGAGCTCAACTCCAGCCTTCTGTGGTTCAACAGGCTTACTGTCAGTCAGTGGAGCCCCACTGAGAGCGCGGGCAGTGGGTCTGGAAGCTGCCCGCACCCCTCCTGGCTGTCTACTTGGCCTAGTTGATTTGATTCATGTCTTCACGCTTGTGTGTGTGTGGGAGGGCTTGCATGTGGGAATTTAGTGCAATTGCACTGAGCAGAGATTGGTGGAAATGAGAGATGATGTCATTTACCTTATGTTGTGTAGGGCACCTATTTTAAAACAGTTATTAATTTGCATTTAGAGCCATACGTGTTATAAAGTGCCCTAATTGTCACTGAGTGAGTGTGTATGTATATACGTGTGTGTGTGTGTGCATGCGTGTGCTAATATAATTATTGTAACAATACATTATAGTATTTTTTTCCAACCTATCGTGCATTATATACGTCTTCTCATACTAAATTTCCTACTTACATGTGATGTAAGAGTATGAGGATTATAAAGTGGCTGTATGTGTGCACTGAAATGAAGGTATGCTTACTTCTCTAACAGGATTTAGCAAAGCTGTATGTAGTATTTAGGTTATCGGTGCATGTAGGTGATTTTTGCTCCTGTGTTTTATGTGTTACGATGCTCGAATACTTAATATCTAATCTGACTACCGGCTGACCAAGTGAAAGCAGCAGACCGCAGACTTTGGTTTGTGATTCTGTAGCTAAAATGCTGCAGTTGCTTACATGTAAAAATAATTCGCAGTCAAAATAATGCCCCCAATACATTTTTTAACATGTCCCTCTGAGACAAGGCATGAAAGCTGGAGCTAGTGCTGTTAAAACAACTGAAGATAATCTGGGCAGCTGCATCTGCAACTCTTTCTGCGCTCACAGTCTGTACAGGGGTTTGCACTAAGAGTGTTTTTAGTGTATATTTACCACAACTAAAAATACAAAAGACATTGCTTTGCTCACCCAGTTACACAATATCCAACCAAAGGGGAAAGAAAAAACCCCAGCAAACCATTCTAACGTAATTTCAGTCAGTGAACATGCACAGTAAACTAAACTGAGAAGATTCATATGCCAAAAGCATTTCATGAGCAATGTCAGCAAATGGTTTGTCATACCTGTACTTTAAAGTGCTGGGTTGATACTTTACAAGGAATGGTTCAGAAAGCCTGGAATTTTGAAGCATAAAGCAGAGCTGATTTGCATATATCGCCTTATGCAACTTGAAATTTCAGCTGCTGTCAGAGTAACAGTGGAGGGATTATAAATGTTCTTTGCTGCAAAAACTCACTAATATATTTATTATGTGCAACGAAATGTTTTACCTTTAACTTATCTCATCAAATAAATTCAGCAGTTATTGAAAAGAAGGTGGTATTATTAATGGGATTATTGAGGATTGTGACAGGCCCTGTAATAATCCTAATACCAGAAGTAAAATTATAATTGGATGATGACAGTAAGAGGGGCATTTATAATCTAATCTACTAATCTACTTTATTCGTGCCTTGAGGATTTGTTGGTTGACCATTTCACACTGACCTATATGTATTACAAGGCATTTTCGCTATTCAGAATATAACCTCGTACAGCATGATGTAATCTAGGTAGCATATCAGTTTTGGGACTTCTTTGGTCACTGAAAGGTTGATTTTTAATACCACCAATATGGAAAGAATGTGTGCAAAAGAAAATACAGCAATCTTCTGAGTGAACAGAGGTTATCCTTGAGCAAATAAAGCCCCTATCATTGAAAAACGATTTTTAAAAAACACAAATTTTAACACAAAAAAGCCAATTTTCTTTAGCTGTGGTAAACCCTGGATTCACAGTGAGGGAAGAATAAATGTTTCTATCCAGCTGCAGGTCAAACAGGTTAAAAGTGCTGAAACGTCTTGCATCTCCATCATTCAGTCTCCATAAGTCTGTCTCTGCTTCGGTTCTTATCGATAGGAAATAATCTGCCTGTGATCCAGCATCTGGTAGATGTTAATGATACAGATCACTTTCACATTTTGTCAAAGATTACACTTTAAATACTGGAAATGAGCCGTGAAGTAATTTTGATTCGCACCACTTGTGCCTAATTTGTTGATGACTGTGATTTCTGATAGCCAGAAATCACAGTCAGCTGAAGGCAGTCCTTGCAGTGGTGATGACTCGACAAAACCCTGCGGGGATGTCCAGGAAGTGAGAGTGTGACACAGGAAGCATCGGGGGGTGGGGGTGTCATGCACAAAAATACAGTCGAACGAGAAACAAATCAGCAACTAATAAAAAAGGATATTGGGTGAAAGAAGAGTGAGAGACAATAACTTGTTTACATTTGTTTATTAGACAAGCCAGCATTTTTATTGTAGCCTGGTTTATTACTGTGTCTGCCTCCTTTTGATAGTAAAGTTTATTATTGTGCTCATATTGTCATTTTTAATTTGGAAACGGGAAATCTGCATTGTGATATTCTGTGATTTATATATTGGTATCAGGGCAGCTATTGTTAACTTTGGATAAATCTATAGTTAAAATCCTTGATCACAGCAGGTAAACATCTTTTTTCTAATGTTTGTCATTAGAAATGGGACTTAAGGAAAAATGATGGTTACTGTCAGGATCGTGATCGTGTAGAATGAGCTGTCAATGCTGAGATATTGAAACTCAATTTGGTGCACCACTACTTGAGAAAGCTTCTGTAAAATGAGCCAAAGCCATTTTTAGCTGGCACCAGTTTTTCCAGAACCGTTTAATTATCCTCATACAGCTTTTAGATTTTAAGAAACACAACAATAGAGACAGCAGCTTAGCATAGACTCCATCCATGCTATGCTGCAGGTGGGACTGAATGACCAAGCCACTTGCAGTCAGTCAGTCTAAAAGCTGTCCGCCTGGTTGGTTTAGCAGTTGTCCTCTATAGCTGCCTAATTTCCCCCTGGTTGAGAATTTTTTAGTAGAAATGTTTATGTGAAGAACTGTGACTTCATTACCTCCAACTCTAAATCCAAATTCCAAAGTTTCCTTTTCATTTAATGTGTGCAGTGCTTTCTTCATTCATATGATAACCGACTTCGTTTTAAATCAGAATACCAGTTGATTTGAGTACCGGGTCCTTATTGTGTTGCTGTCTTCTTTTCAGAATATGATGGCCAGTTAGCCCTAGCAGGAGCATCCGAGTCAGGCATGGCATCGTCTTCCTACTTGGAACCCAACATCAACCACCCGTCCGCGGGTGGTTGCGGGGTTAAATCCCGGTCTGGAATGTCCGGTGTACCCAGCACCAGTGGCTCTGCTGGAGGTCTAGAGAGACCCCCGGGCTCCATGGACCGCGTTCTTAAGATCTTCCATTACTTTGAGACAAACAGCGAACCATGTACATGGGCTAGCAATATCAGGCACGGAGATGCTACAGACGTCAGGGTAACGTGCACACGTTTCTTACCTGCATAGTTCGGTATTGTTGTTATTTCCCTGATTTTTGCTTTTCTTTTTCTTCATCAAACCATTTGTTTCCACAGGGTGTAATCCAGAAGATAGCAGAGATCCACAAACTGCGCTGTGTTGCCTCTTTAGGTCTCCGCCTGACCCACTTGCGCTCGGACGCTCTCCATTGGTTACACCCTGATTTGGGTGTGTCTCATGTGAGGGAGAAATATGAAAAACAGCACCCGCAAGAAGAGTGGAGGTAAAACTATGAGATTCTGTGTTTTGTGCTTAGCTCCCACTGCTCTTTCGGACTATTCTAACTTTTTTTTTTTAACAAATACTATAGAGTAAAATTTAAATATACATAAGCAAGAGCCATTTTATTAATTTTATTTATTTTTGGCCTTTATTCAATAGAGACAGTGTAGATAGACAGGAAAGCAGGGAGGGAGAGAGAGGGCAAGACAAATGCAGCAGGTCGGACTCAAACCCAGGCCTACTGCTTTGCAGCCACACAGCATATGGTCACCTGCCCACCCACTGACGATGGTGCTCCATGGTGGATCAATATCTAACAGTGCTTTTCTTCAGTCATCTTTCCATGAACACCACTGGTTGAAATGGAGCTTCAAACCATGACAGAGCTTTAAACATGTTTCACTGGTTGGCTGTAAACAGTCACTGTTATACCTCTCTCCTCATCTCATCTTTACATACTGACAACAAATTTGGATTCATCACTTCACATGATAATTGCCGCTGATTTTCAGTTGAGATGTGTCAAGTCTTTCGTTTCTTAAGGAAATGCTTTCAGATATTGTTCATTTGCTTCTTTTGGCATTCACTTTTCCCGTTTCCTCAAATTTTTTTAAGGGCAAACTGCACACCGTGCTAAGATATTCAGAGTTTGTTAACAACGTAACTGCTTGAATCCGCTCCAGTTTCTATTCAGCAGCTCTGCTCAGAGCAGTGTGATGACTAGGGATGGGTACCGGTGTCATGGCACCGGTTCTGACATAAACGGTAGTAACCAGACCGAAAAGCAGCGCACATTTCGGTGCTTTTTTTCCTGAGCTGTGATACACTTTAGATTCTAGCCAATCATTTTACGTTTCCGAGGATAGTAGGCGGGGCCAGGTACGTACGTTCTTTTATGCAGAGCTACAGATTAAAAATGGCCAAGGTGAAGCGGTCAAAAGTCTGGCTGTACTTCACAGCAAATTATGCAAACTCAGCAGCCTGCAACAAGTGCTTTAAGCTGATACTGTCAAAGGAGGTAACACCTGAAATCCGATGAAACACCTGGCGACGCATAGAGTTTTTTTTAAAAGCCCAGAAATGCGCCGTATGATAGCTTGCTGCGAGACCTCACACCGAGCACATCTACTGCCGGTGGGTTGCCTGTTATCGGACCCGGAGTTAGCAACATCCCCCAAAAACCCGAAGAGGAGAGTCCTGGCCCCTAGCCCTGCCAGTGTAGCAGAAATGATGAGGATGATGATGGCAGCAGCAGCCGTTCTTCTCTGCGTGAGTAGCTTAATGTTGTTCGTGTGTAATTTACGTTGAGTAGGCTAACCACGTTATTACATTAATGCATGTAAGGTGAACTAGCAAACACCATCATAGCTACATGCGGCTGTCTTCTTGTTTGATGGCAGATACTCCCTTCACCCTGGCCAAAAAGGCTAAAATGACCAAAGAAAAAGTGGAAAACAGCTAAACATGAGAGGTTTTTGGACAAAGTTTGTGTTTTTTCCATTGATTAAGCACTGCTTCCAGCTAAGAGTGATACCATATATGCCCCATAACTGCAGAAAAGGCTAACTTTGTTATCTTTTTACAAAAAAACAGCTGAACATGAGAGGTTTTAGGACCAATTTTGTGTTCTCCATTCTTTAAGCACTGGTTTGAGCACCGTTTGAGCACCGGCACCGTTTCAAAAGTACCGATTTGGCACCGGTATCGGATAAAACCTAAACGATACCCATCCCTAGTGATGACACATTTCTAAGTTAACCCAAGCATGTTTTTTTCTGCATAACGTTTAGTATTTATCTATCCATATTGTACAGCCTGTACAGTGACTCCAATATACCTGTGATTGACCAGTAATGTCAGTCTTGCATGAGGATATATTGATCAATGGATACCTAAAGTAGCACCAGTACTCACTTGTGGTTGAAAGTATCTCTGTTGTTTAAGCTTGTCTATAAATATGCATAGGTTTAATAAGTAGCTACCTTCCTTCTTTAATGTTGTGATAATGTCAGAAACCAAAGTAAAATGACACCACCTCGTCTCTGACGGGAGTTATTGCAATAAACAGCTGCAACTGACTGCTGCAAACACATGGGCTCCATTAAATCACTTAATGGTTTCAATAAACTAGGCACTGCACCTTAAATCACTATTTAAACTACTTATACAAGCAGTAAAAAAGGAAAAACTTAACTTAAATTGGGCCGTTAAAGGTGAATTTGTTGCATGCAGTGAGGATATGTTTTTGGCACTCGTGGTTTCCTAGTATTATATTAAAATGAATAAAGTCTTATTCTTCTCATTTATTTGATGCACCTGCCTAACATTTTGGTCTGTGTCGCTGCTTATTTGAGGGCATCTCTGTCCAATTATAGCCTGGATTCAAACTATGCTGGTGCTGGGTGGATGATGTAGATATTGTTACTAACTCTCCTTAAGACTCAGTCCTTTGTCCTGCTGTGATGTGTTACACCCACTCATTAAATTTAAATGAATGCAACAAGAACGAGTTGTTCACACTGCTGACATACAGCAGAGGAGCTCCGCCAGTTGTTGCAGTTCTGCCTTGGAGGGCGGCAGAGCTGCAAGCCCGCAGGAGTTTCTGCTGCCGAGCTATTGTTAGAACAGCAGCAGTGGCCCAGGGGATGAACCGACTATCTCACTCCTTTCTCACTCCCTGTGCGATTTATCTCATTCTCTCTCTTACATTCAGTCACTGTTCACTCTCATCCTTCACATCGTTCCCCTCTTTTCTATTAAACACACCATTTTATCTCCTCTGTCATATTCCCTTTTTGTTATAGAACAATCATGTTTTATTCATTCAGTCCTCAGCCTTGATTTTCTTTGCTACCTAACCACAGTCCTGTAACATCAGAGCAGTTTGGAGCTCATTACTCTCCTGACCCACTTCTCTCCCCTGTAGTCACTGCAATATGTCACTCATTAGATAATATATCACTATAAACAATGATGGCCCATCTGGGTGCTTCTGTGACATAGCTATTGGCAAGTGTAACTGCAGGAAGCTCATTATTCTTTATGGTCATACGAGTCCACGAGACATAATGTAGTGAGTACAGAAGGCTACATATTTCAAATTTGAGACTCAGTTTTAAGCACATGTTGGCAAACAGCCATCCTGTTGAAGTGATGGAGACTGAGAAAAGCAAGCAAGCTACCAGATGCATCAGTGCTGCTTTGTCACTGACATATACTTTAACCTCTCCATCTTCACAGAAAGCAGAATTTCTAATTCAAAAAGCTCTATCATCAGGCAATACTCAAGTTCATTTTGATGGCATGAAACAAAATGCAAAATAATGCATTTTTTTTTTTTTTATATTTCTGCATTATCCCTGAAAAAAATCTTCAGATTCTTTGAAAGCCCATTGATGAATATAACAGTTGTAATTAACTTCACCGTAAGGTACATTATAAAACGTTGGTGTTTATCAGTTAGTAAAACCACAGCAGTTTCCAAGTCAACAGATATTAGTCAATTAGAGACAAACCGCTTTTAAATTGCTAGCCTCAATCTGTCACAGTAGATGTCATGTGACATGTTAAGGTCCTGATTTTTAAAATTTTAAACTGTATGCTTTGAAATCAGTGCGTCTTTTTAATCAAGTAATATCGCTTTAATGATCCTGTAGTTTGTCCAGACACACTTTATTTTGTGTGTGTGTGTGTGTGTGTGTGAGAGAGCTTATTCCTTCTGTTTTTAGTCCTCAGGCAACTATTGAGCTTGGATACTGCACATTTTTGATTATGAGTTTGTGCATGTGTGTGTGTATTTGGTATTTGGTAACATTGTTGCTGTCTTTCTCAGGTATGAGTTGCGGATACGGTACTTTCCTAAAGGTTATCTCAGCCATTTTTCTGAAGACAAACCCTCTCTCAACTACCTCTATCACCAGGTGAGGCCACACAACAGGATACTGAATGAAAGAAAACTAGTCTGGTTTTCTTAAGTGACTTCTGTCATTTATTGTCTTCTGTATGATTGCCTCATTTCTGCTATGTCCAAATGAGGCAGACATGCCTTTAAATCATTTAAAAAGATGCCCGTCGTATCTAATATGTATTCTGTTATTAGACATTTCCAGTCCTTAGCTCATTATATTTATTAAAAATCTGCTGCCACACCATGTGTCTCTCCAGGTAAAGAGTGATTACATGCAACACATAGCTGACCAGGTGGATCAAGATGTTGCACTGAAACTGGGCTGTTTGGAAATAAGGTGAGAACGCGCTCATCAGACACACACACACATTACAGGTGTTTTGGTATTTGATACACTTCAAACCACAATGAACTTGAGTGTGTCACGTGTGTTTGCTAAATCTGTCTAAATCCCACATGTAGAAGTTGTCCTGAATACTTGAGGCTAGTTGTTGATCCTGTTCATATGTTAATCTTTTCTGTGAATTATATAGGCGGTTCTTCAGAGAGATGCCAGGCAACGCACTGGATAAGAAATCAAACTACGAGCTACTAGAGTAAGATTGTGTTATGTCATGTCATGCTGTCTTGAGTGTATGCTTCCAAAAAATTTTTATTTTGAGGTAAATTAGTCCAAAGAAAAATGTTGTGGCACTATTCTTTCATTTCAGGAAAGATGTTGGTTTGAGAAGGTTTTTCCCCAAAAGCCTCCTTGACTCCCTTAAGGTGAGATTAAACTAATATAATAATCTAAACCCACTTAGTGACTAACTGTCTACCCACTTCCTGGTAACAATGGTGTCAAGGCACAAATTGCATCTGACTCCTGCTTTGTGTGTCGGCTGAGTTAGAGCTGACAGGCTGTTTGGGTGACTGGCAGGGAAACAAACCCGATGACTGAAAGGACATTTGGCTAAATGTCTGATCAGTCAGATTTTCTGGAATGAAGTTAAACTTCCTGTTGTCACTCACAGTGGGGCCTGTCAGTTGTGTGCTGTGCTTTTCTTGGCTTGTTCTCAGCTGTTTCCCAGAAAGCCCTTACTCTTTAAAGTGTTTTGTCCTTCCCCTTTTCTCTCTATCAGCCGAAGGCTCTTCGTAAGCAGATCCAGCAGACCTTTAAGCAGTTTGCTAACCTCAATGATGAACAGAGCATCCACAAGTTCTTTGAGATACTTTCTCCCATCTACCGCTTCGACAAGGAGTGCTTCAAATGCGCTTTAGGGGTAGGACTCTCGGTACATTGAGATAATGTTACATGTAAAGATCAATAATGACATGTTTTAATGTATTAGCCATACACTGAAATATAGCCAAAGTCATGTGGTGGGAGGTTAGAGCTTCTTTATCATGCACGGGGTAGTGTTCGCTTTCACACTTACTTATTTCAGGTCTTGTAGAGTCAGTATTTCTTCTTATTACTTTATTTTCTGCAGTAGTTACTTTAACTTCAAACCTAACTCTGTTATAAATGCCATTAGACATCAAAAACAAAGGAGTATATTAGAGCTTTTATAAAATTTGTGTAAGTACATGATGTGATGAAATATGAGCTATGTGTCAAAATTTACATGTCTGCACTGTGTCTCTCCTCCCCCTCTAGTCTAGCTGGGTAATATCAGTAGAGTTAGCTATCGGACCAGAGGAAGGTATCAGCTACCTCACAGATAAGGGCTCAACGGTGAGTGTACACAGACAACTCACCACAGAAAGTTAGCATTACTTCTGTATTTTTCCTGCCTCTTTAGAAGGCTTCCAGCACATCTGTGTACTGCTGTATGCCTTAGGTGTAAGGTCACAGTAACAGTTCACCATACTGCCCTCTACTGGTTTGCCTCCTTTCTTTCTTTCTTTTCTCATCTCCTCACTTGTCCAAGTTAGAATAGGTCGGAAAAGACAGTTAGATTGGAAAAAGCTGGGAAACAGCATGCAGATCACAGTTGGATTAGGAAAAAAGAACAGTTTTCAGCATTGGGTTAAGTATCTTGCTCAAGGACATGATTATGGTAGCCGGGGAATTGATCCACCAACCTTCCAGTTGGTAGATGACTTGCTCTACCTCTAGCTGTAATAACATTACTAACTGTTATTGGCAGTAAGTAAAAATATAGGCAGTCATTGAAGAATATATAACTAATGAAAATGTATTTTTAAAAAGCACCAATCTGAGACCACAAGTGAAGATTTAACTTTAATGTTTGTTTTTTTTAAAAATAAATCATAAATGATCAACTTCACATTTTAAGCAAAAAGTTTATTTACACTTCTTTTGCTTTAATGACTTGATGCTTTCTGGCTAATGTGGACTCAAGGTCGTCCAATTCTATTATTTTAAGAAGTTCTTGTCTCTCTCAGAACCCCTTAAATTATTAATGGGGTTGAGGTCACACGCTGAAAATGTCTGTTTGTTTTGAAACCAGAAGGTTTAGCATATCTCTGAGGAATGGAGTGCCGCTTCGCCCTGTTCACAGGGTAGTCAGTAAAACACCCTCAAAGTTGAATTTTGACACTCTGTGGTGTTCTTCTCTATATTTCTGTTTGCTTTAGCACCAATGTTTTTATATTTAGCTAAAACTAAACTAAAACTAAAACTAGCATTCTAGTTAACAAAGATAAAAACAACAATAAACTTTTCAAAAACAACCTAATATGTTTTTGTTAGTGGGAAAACTGAAATAAAATAAAAATATAGAAACAATAGACTTAGTTTTAGTCCTTGTTAATTTGTTATTACAACTTGTCTTGAGCCTTTAATGGACACGTTTATTGAGACTTTGGATATTTACAAGAATGCGAGTCAACCTTTTTCAAAAAGTTATGTCTTTTTATTTTTATACCTATACTGATATTCCTAAATCCTACCTCTGGTGTGTTCTATACATACAGTAATATTTAAAAAAAAGACTGTTAAAACAGTGAAACTAAAACTAAACTAAACAAACAATCAACTGAAACTAAACTACAGACAGAAAGTCAAAGCTTAATAAAAATAGTAACCAATTAGAAAATACACAACTATAATAACTCTCTTCAGCACATCCTTACTACACCATGCCTTCATGTAAGTAGGCCTACGCTGTGCAGCTAAAGTGAGGTACTGCAGTCATGTCAAACGTTTGATTATTGAGTAAATACTGTAGGAGTTTTTCCAATGCCAAACCAAGCGTTTGTTGTGTTTCCCCTCCTGAAAAACGGTTTATAGACCTCAACTCGTGCAGATGAGAAGAGATCCAGATAATCTTCTTTCTGCACTACTCCTCTGACTGGAGTCTTGCATTTTTTTAATATTTTAAAGGCAGTGTCTGTTATGAAGTTGCTTTTCTATCTGTCAGTGAACCAAACTTGATGTATTGATCTTCTGATGTTGTGGTCACTTTGCCTGTACTTTGGATACAGCTGATAAAGTTTCTGTAAAGTGTTTTAGAGTGCGGTGCACAGCCTCCTTAGAGACCTTCTGTCTAGACATGGTTTGACGCTGAGAAAGCTCCTCTTTGCTTAGTGCAGCAGTCATATTTCTCACGCTTTCACTTAGTTCACATGCCACGTGTTTCACTGATGCTGTGCTTCGTAGTAAGCAATGTTAGAAACTTGAGGTAGACAATACAATCCAGTGCTACAAGCTGACTGACATCCATTTTCATTTTTGCTTGAAACGTTACAGGATATAATGCAGAATAATTTCTTATAATTCTTATGCTTTAAATATCTAAAGATTCTTTTTGACTATTTCCAGATGTATTTAATGACTGTCACTCTGCCTTTGTCTCTGCAGCCCACACACTTAGCTAACTTTAATCAGGTGCAGTCCATCCAGTACTCTGCTTTGGACGAGAAGGACAGGAAAGGCATGCTGCAGCTGAACGTGGCCGGAGCTCCTGAGGTAAAAACACACACCCTGTATACTCTTCACCTGGCTCTCTGTGTGTGTTACAATGTGAAATATAACCTATTGCTGTTTAAATTTGACTTACACCTATTTGTATGCGTTTCCTCTCAAACATGTGGCTCATGTACATTCTCACTGAAAATGCATACAGTGCAAAGTCTCTGTGCCAATAAGTGGATGTTGTTTTCCTGCATGTGTTGGCTGCTGATGAAATCACACTTGTCACAGAGATTATTTGCATCCAGCTGATGAATGCTAATGTCACTGTTTACTTTATAAAATAGACTGTGTATAGAATTATTTAAACATAATAGTTCAAGTTATATTAAAACGCATGAAAAACTAGGTGAGCTGCAGGAAAAAGGAGAGGAGCCTGAGTTTCATATTGACTGTGTGTTTGCAGCAGGCTTACAGAAAACGTGTCACTGCCACAGTATTGGAGCAGGGATATGTGTCTATATGGGACTGTATGTGTGTGTGTGCACGCACTAATAGGAGGCCTTCTTCCTAATAAAGCCCTCGTTGTGTCACTGTGAAGCAGCTCTCTGTCCCGTTCTTACACTAATCCTTCTGTGGGTGTGTGTGTGTGTATAGCCCCTCACTGTCACTACAGCATTGCTGACTACGGCAGAAAACATGGCCGACTTGATTGACGGTTACTGTCGGCTCGTCTCCTCAGTTACTCACTCCTTCATCGTCAGGGTCCACAAAGGTAGGACGTTCAGCTGTGCAGATTTTATATTATAGTCTAATGTTTCACTTTTTTGTTGTTGTTGCTTGTTTGGGTTTTGTTTGTTTGTTTGTAGCTTTGTAGCGGTAAGATTGTGCAAAGATGATGATTGTGGTCATGTTTCTATCCTAACAGTAGCTTAAAACAAAAAAGCAAACACTGTAAATAGTACCGCATTGAAATCGCTGTCAAGTCCTCTCTCAGACTGAGGTGGAGTCTTGATTGTGACTAGTGAGGCTTTATGCTTGTCGCTTTGATTAACCAGATGGTGTCTGGCTAGTGTTTCCTAAAAATAGCTATGGCTACAAAGAAATTGTGAAATCGTAGCTCTAGCATGAAGTCCGTCTGCTCTGTGACCAATTAAATTGTGGATTTTGTCTCTGCAGAGGGAGACAGAGCTCTGCCATCTATACCAAAGTAAGTCTGCTAATTTGTTTTATGCTCGTTCAGGGCTGTGTTAAGTGAAAACAAGCTATCTTCTTCCTTCTTTTACCAGTGGAGCCTGTTATCTTTTCTTTGTTCGATTGGGTGGTTATTATGGGTTTCACGCATTTTGTTATGACTCTGAAACTAAAGTGAGCATAAACATGTCTCAAATCCATGGATTCTTGAATTGCTTATAAGGTAAATATAATATTCTCTGTAAACTTTAGAAACTTTTTTGGTTTTTAATGTTTGACACTTGAAGAAGCACACATGACAGGATGTGGGAGGATTCTTCGTTTCCCTCGTTGCGCCGCTGTCTTCGTAGCTGCAAATAGCAGCTCATTCTGTCTTAAGACAATGTGAGCCAAAATAATTCTCTTCTCTCTGGTCCAGAGTTTCAAACCATGAGAAGCGGATGGAAAAGCGGATGGACGGAGTACGAACTCGAGCAGTTTGCGTCTCAGGTATAAACCCCCCCTGTCGTGTTTCCTCTTGCTAGCCAGTCCATTTCTCCTCTGTCACTGTGCTTCTCTGTCCTCTGCTCTAAATGTCATGAATGACAGTGACGGCTAAGAGTTAGATAAAGGGTTCACAGATATGTGTGCGAGTGCTGTTACCACATAAAGCCTCATCTGTGTGCGCAGTGAAGAGTCCTTGTCTGGCCAGATGTCTTGGTGGAGAGCTTTAGTCACTGTCACTCTGTCTCTGCTCAGGCTGTCGACTGACTTCAGATTCATTCACGTGTACTTAAAATGACATTTTAAAAAAGACCTTTTAGATCCATTAACGGTAAAACTAATGCTTCTCTCCATGTTTCTCCCCCGGTGTTTGTGTTTCATGCTGCTTGTGGCTTCTGCAGGTCACATTAGTGGCGATGGTAAACTGCATTTTCTTTAAACCTCCTTCATTAGTAACAGTGGAATTCCTGCTCTGTATCTTCATTAAGGCTGCCGTATGTGTGGAGAATATCTCTCTAACTCTCTCTGTCCCTGCTCGACTCTGTATTAGTTCTCTCCATGACTAAACCTGTTTTTCTCCAGCTTGTTTCTCTGGAAAGAAAGAATATTTCCATCCCTCCCCTTTCCTCTCCTCTCTCTCCCTCTCTATTGTTCCGTGTCGCTCCTTGTGTGAGGCCACACTGTAGTACACGAACGTTTCAGTTGTTGTGCATGTGTTTGGAGTCGGGTATGGTGACGGGCTTTTGGCAAGGTAGCTCTTTCTGATCATGGTGTTTCTCTTAATGTTGCAAATTGCAGTCTTTGTCTCGGTGAAGGTGTGCTCACCGGACTCAGTTATTTAGTGATGTTGGAAGGTCTTAGACACGGTGGCATGTTATACAGTTAAATCATTGATACCGAGAACTTTGTAGTGATTTTTAGATGCAAGCTTGTCATCAGCTCAGAACTTGTTGATTTGTTCTCGGCTCTTTTTCTCATCCTGATTTTTCTTTGCTCTGCAGAAACAGACGACTATGCTGAGATCATAGACGAGGAGGACACCTACACCATGCCTTCGAGTAAGTAGACATACGCTGATACACATACCCATAAATGTTGCGGGCAGCTAAAGTGACAAGTGGCGAGGCAGTGATAGCTGTTTGTGTCTGCGCTATCAGTGGACCGTGTCAGACTTGTATCAGAGGCATTTTATAGAGGGACTTTGTTCACACTCTGTCTACTTCACCGTTTCTTTTTGTTGATTTCATTATAGATGAAGATTAAAAGCCATGAACAGGCATGTTGTCTGAGTGTGGTGGCATTTTAGATGAATTTTGGAGTTAAATTTGGATGAGATTAGAGTCAGGAACCTCTTTACTGTAGCACACGTTCACTTGTGAAAATCTTTGTATTTTATTTAATTTGTCTTGGTATACGGTACTGTGCAAAAGTCTCGAGCCACCCCTTCAAACTGGAAAATGGGAGCGGTGATTTATTGAAACATGCATACATGGAAATACAAGTTTTCAGATGGTGCTGTATGGTGAAAAAGACTCTAGCAATACTGGGTGCTAATGTAGTTCAGGATGACTATATATTCTGCAAGGCTGAATACAGGATTCTTCCTCGTCTTCTCTGTCTGCTTTCCTGTCTACTCTTCACTACTACACTATCTCGAAAAAATCAACAGCAATTCACATTTAGATTCATCGCTCCATCAGACCTGTTGTCACAGATTTTCAGTCAGTTTTCTGAGTAATTTGGCGTACCTCACCCTTATCTCTGTTTCCCTTAAGAATCTTTACAGCCATCCTTCCACTGACACCATTTCTCATGAGGCTTCAACTCAAGGGTCTCATGGATCTCTGAGGTTCTTTGCTTGCTTTCTTAAAAAACTGCTCATTAGCTGCATATGCTTAGGCCACTTCTTTTGTCATCAACTTGTCCAGTTTCCTCAAATTTTTTGAAGTCACACTGCACACCATACCAATATATGCAAAGTTTCTGGCTAACAGCTCTCTTTTTTATATACCTCTCAAACTGTGTTATCGTTCAACTATCGTTCATCGATTCAACTAATAAAATGGGAACAAATTTTGTGTTTTTGCAATAGATCAAGTTGTGTTTTTGTGTAAACACAACACTGGCTCATCCCTTTAGTTGGCCGCCTTTTTATGCTTGAATCATTCATAGGTCAGACCTTCAAAAAGCCTCGAGAACTAATGCCCACAATTTAATAAAATAAAGTAAATAAAAAATAAATAAATCACCCAGACAAGAAAGTCTGGATCATTGGAAGCACAATATAAAGAAAAATGGGTAGCTCAAGACGTTTGCACACTATTTTATTCTTAAATAGTTTACCCAGCACCTGAAATTAAATCAAGTCACCTTGCAGACCTGATGTAAAGATTCCTTTGTTTGACATAATTTTAAAGCATGAATTTGAGTGCAGTTAGATATGTTCCGAGAGGTTTTTGATCTGGTCAGACTCCTGTGTGAATGATCACATTTTCCGTGGTCACATGCAGTAATATTATTTAAAAGGGGGAAGCCACTTCGACCATATTCTGTGTGTATTTTTACACTCGCAGTCTATATTTATTTTCACGAGTTCCCACAAGATTTGGCAAGAGCCGCAGCTTCCTCAGATTCTTTTGACGTATTATGCGCACATTGTCTGCATTTTTAGTGAACATTTACAAATGACTGATTCCTCCCGTGATAGCGCTCAGTGTGAAAGGCTGGTAATATTTTTAGTATGAGACATCAGCGTAGGCATTTGTCTGGCCTTGTGTGTCATACATGGAGGCTGAACAGTTCTTTGCATTAATTAAAGCATTGCTGAATAAATAAGAAATGTATATGAAGAGGTTCTGCTGTGCTGCTGTTGCTGCTGAGCGATGCCTGTGAACCAGGCTTAAGACTCATGTTAAGCTGAATTCGATGCTGTGTGGCTGTGGTGAATAGGCAGCATAAGAAGGCAGAGTAGACGAGCAGTATCAGCTTAATGTGGGATGGGAAGATGGAGTGTATTTTCTTTTTAAGCTGTTTTGACAAATTGCCTGCTCAAGCTGCCATAAAATGTTGCCTGAATATCGTAAGCACTCGTTCCATGTAAGCAGAATGCAGCTGAATCCCAACATGGCTTTGCTTTTTGATCATTCATAAATTATAGTTTTGTAGTTCAGTCTTCTGGACTTACACATGTAAACACAGTACCAAAGTAATAACTACAGCAGCAATGCTTTTTACTAATCTCAAAAAGCATTGAAACATTCGTTTGCATCAGAACTGCAAGTGGCTCATTCAGCTTTTTTTGTTTGTTTTTTTTCTCCAAAAAGGTCAAGTTCAGCTGTTTATGTTGGTACTTGGGTAGTTTGAGTGTGCTAATAAGTATTTTGGTTGTGTTAACGGCAGGTTTCCAAGCAGTTCACTATTTGGCTAGCAAGTTGCTTGCTTTGTAACTTGCACCTTTCTAATATAGCTAGTGATGACATGTGCTGTGGGCTTGTCGGGCCTGTATGCTATATCACAGCATTTATTTCTAGCCAGTGTTCCTTTGATTATCCACCAAGATCTTGTACTGACGATGGAAGAGTCGGACTGGCCTTCTCCAGCACATCCCAAAGACTGTTATCAGGGTTTAGGCTTGCTCTTTCCCGCTTTGATCCCAGTGAATCCTGACATTGTCAGGTCGTTCAGTAGATCCAGCTAACCTCATTGTTTGGGCACATAATGTTGCAGAGCCTACACCTGACCAACTGAAGCAGCCCAAGATCATAACAGTGCGCCCACGGACTGTTATAGTAAGCAAAACAATGACGTGATTGATGGATCACTTCATCTGCCTCTCTTTTTACCTTGATGCACCCGTCACTCTGGAACAGGGTAAACCTGGACTTATTAGATCACATGACCTTTTTTCATTACTCCAGAGTCCAGTCTTTGTGCTCTCCACCAAACTGAAGCCTTTTTTCAAATTAGCTTCACTGCCAAGTCACTACCACTGGTCCCTTGAGTTCTCTTCACATTGTGCGTGTGGAAATGCTCTTACTTTCACTTTTAAACATCATTCAAGATTTTTTTTTTCTCCTGACCACATTCCTCTGGTGATGTTTCACAGCTGTCCTTCCAGGTTTTAATCCGTTAAACAGTTCTTAACCCAGTTTTAGTAGTTTTAATAATCTGCTTGTAGCAGGCAAGGAGCTTGACCCTGAAACTGAGTAAGAGCTTTTTAAAGACCCCGGGATGTTTTTTTCTGATATGGTTTCTTAAGACATTAAAAGCTACTCAGTTAAGGTTAAATAGAGTTAAATAACCTGTCGACCACCAAAACGTATGAATCACTGCAGCAGTTATACAGTGGAAGGTTTTTATCTATTTGTCTTACCTATTAGTTATTTAATGTGATAACACTGTTTCTGACTTACAGTAGCTCTAATCCATCAGCATCACTGTTACACTCACACTCGCTGCAGCTGTTGAAGTAACACTGACCTAATTAGTAGAGACTCCAGTAACAACATGTGGCTCTCTGTACTCACAGCTAGCTATTTCTGTCTCTTATCACTAACCCATTTTCCCAGAATACTATGGACTAGACCAAGGTAATGATTGAAAAAGTACCATAACTCTGGTTGTACTGTGATGGCACTTTGACTTGGTGGTTGTTGTGACCCTTTTACGTTTGCTTGTGACTGGAAAAAAAAAAGTTTCTGTCTGTACCTCTACCCTGTTGATTTGACCCCCCTCCTCCTCCCCCCACCACCAAACACCCCTCTGCTCATGTGTGATGTGCTGTGACTTTCTGCTAAACTGGTGGTAGCTTCAGAAGTGAGACAACCCAAATGGACTTGGATCTTGTTTTTGTCTGTGTTTAAAAGGTGGAACAAATTGAGAATGAGCTTAGGTTACTCTGCAGAAAAATCAATAATAATATAAACAGTCGACCGCTGTTAAAACACTATTCACTGCTCAGAGTAACAGAAACATGGCAGGCGTTCAGAAATATTTTTGTAACCAGGCAAGTTGATTCAGAGCATCCTCCTTATTGCAATTTTTGCCTGGAGGAGTAAGTGCAGTGAGAGGGACGGCTTTAAATAGATGCATACATTTATACGCTGGAACATTTTAAACCCAGACTACTAACAAACAGAATAGTCTTACTGCATTATTTAACACTGGACTTTTGAAAGCGTCAGCCACACGGGTGACATTTAGAGGCAGAGAACAGAGCAAAAGCAATAATTAGGGTTCCCTTTTTCATGCAGCCTGTTTCCACATTGAGGTCATCGCTGCTACGTTTTACTGCCCAGAAACTTTTGTCTCTAAAAGTCGCCCATGTGCTTGAACAGCCATGATTGTCATAAAAGTGCAGAGAATACAGTAAAGTGACCTTTATGGCTTCACGTGTGCTTTATTCATAAGCTTATTACATGGACAAAGTCAGGTCAGCAGTGTCATGAGCAAACGTCAGCTTTCAACAGCCTGCATCTCACAGACCAACCTAAAACAAAAGATTAAAAAAACTCATTTTTACCAGCCACTTTGGACAGAAAACACAAAGAATATTGAGCTGCTACAGTTCCAGTGATCTGCGTCCCGAGCAAAAGCAACAGGTTTTCTGTTGGCCTGTGAGCCTTTTGGGAGTTTTCACCATATACCACCTGACTTTATCCATATTACATTTGAATCAACATAGAAATTCATGCTCATTGTAATTGGCTCCTGTTTGTCTGTGTTACATGGCATGTCTGGCTGTGGTTTGCTGATGCTCTTGTTGCATGCTGTTGATGGTGAGCTTGTTTATAAATTCAAGCTTGTCAGAGTAGGTCAGATTTTTGAAATATTGCATCTGACAGAATTCAATTTATTTCCATGGTGCGGTCTGAAACTAACCTCAAACATGCGTATTTAAGCTGTTTAACCTACAGATTGTTTAGACAGGCTGTAAAAATACTATAAAGTGCTCTGACAAGCTTGGTTAATGCAAGCCCAGTGTGTGGACATTAATCTGTGTGTGTTTTGATCTGAAGGTTTACTCTGTTCATTTTCATCTGTGTGTGTGTGTTCGTGTTTATTTTGTGCATCCAGCGCGGGACTATGAGATTCAGCGGGATCGTATCGAGTTGGGACGCTGCATAGGCGAGGGTCAGTTTGGAGACGTCCACCAAGGAATTTACATCAGCCCGGTACGTTTGTTGTCTTTGCTCTCTCGCGCTCTCTCTGCACACTCACTTTCAAGAGAGGCTAAACTGATTCAGTCATATCACAGTAACGACACACAGCACAGTCAAAGCATTTGTACCAGAGAACCATAAAGGGATGGTCGTGTATAACAAGTTTTAATAGGTAACAGTATTTATTTTAAAGGCCCTTTATTGAAAACTGCAAACTGTTTAGAGTTTGATTGTGACTTCTGTGGAGCAGACAGTGAATATGGTGCGTGTTGGTGTTGAAATGATGCTGATTTTGCTTCTTTGGATGCGTTTCCTGCAGGAGAACCCAGCTCTGTCTGTGGCAGTGAAGACGTGCAAAAACTCAACATCAGACAGTGTCAGGGAAAAATTTCTCCAAGAAGCACGTAAGATGCTGACCTCATAGCAGTAAAATCGCAGTACCCTCTAAATAGTTTTTTTTTTTAAAAGGTTTCTTTTTGGGGAATTGTTTGACTCCTCCCTCTCGTGTTTCTTACAGTGACCATGCGTCAGTTTGATCATCCTCACATAGTGAAGCTGATGGGAGTCATCACTGAGAATCCAGTCTGGATCATCATGGAGCTCTGTACATTTGGAGAGGTATGACACTAATAAGAATATGTATAAGCTGCATCTGTGTAAAGAACAGTTACATCCCTGTGCATGTGGTATGTGAGCCCTGCTGTTTTCTATATTTGTTTAAAAACTGGAAACTATAAATTAGATCAGAGTTTTTGAGACGTGACCTGTAACCCTGTTGTGTGTTTGTTTAAGAACAGATCAGATGATAAACACTTTTCTGTCAGTTATTTCCTCACATTCCCCAGGGTTAAATATTATGGGTGTTATACATTAACTCATGTATATGCTTTCTGGTTTGTTTTCTCATTGTGTTTTGTTTCAGCTTTATTTATATAGTATCTCCCTGTGTTTTTCTACACAGCTTCGGTCGTTTCTTCAGGTGAGGAAATACAGTCTGGATCTGGCTACTCTCATCTTGTACTCTTACCAGCTCAGCACAGCGTTGGCGTATCTAGAGAGCAAACGATTTGTACACAGGTAGGAAAGAGCCATACGGAAATAATATAGCAAAATATTCATAATTACTAAATAAATATAATTCCAGTAGGTGGCGTTGTCACCTACTGGACTGAAACACTGTTGTTCTGTCAAAAAAGAAAACGCATGTTAGATATGAATGCGACCACTGAATTTGAATCGAAAAAATTATATCAGTGAGTTTTTCTCTTCCTCTAATTCCTTTTTGACGTCTCCAGAGACATCGCAGCGCGGAACGTGCTGGTATCAACGGTCGACTGTGTGAAGCTGGGAGACTTCGGGCTGTCGCGATACATGGAGGATAGCTCTTATTATAAAGGTATGTAAAAAAGCATCGCCACCTTTGTCTTGCTTTCTTTGTGATCCGGCAGAGAGAAGCTCCATTATTATTCATAGCTGACCTGATCAGTGAAGTGTGACACAGTTTTCTTCATTTCTGTTTTTCAGCATCTAAAGGTAAATTGCCTATTAAATGGATGGCTCCAGAATCCATCAACTTCAGAAGATTTACTACAGCCAGTGATGTCTGGATGTTTGGTATGTTTTAAGCAGTTTTGTCCCGCTCCAGTCTGCTTCTGTTTTACCCTTGCTTTGTGTCTTTGCTTTACGACCCCTGTAGGCTGTAGCTGTCTCATTCTCACTCACGTTATTTGTCTTTCTTTAGGTGTCTGCATGTGGGAGATTCTGATGTATGGCATCAAGCCTTTCCAGGGTGTGAAGAACAACGATGTCATAGGCAGGATAGAGAATGGCGAGCGACTGGCTATGCCCCCCCAGTGTCCTCCTACTCTCTACAGCTTGATGACAAAGTGTTGGTCGTACGATCCCAGCAAGAGGCCACGCTTTAATGAACTTAAAACACAGCTGAGGTCAGTGGCGTGTGATCTGAGAGACTGTGTGTGACTGTGTGTGAGGCACTTTGAGTGTGGATTTTCTGCAAATTGATTTTTGTTTGAATGCTTGAATGAACTATGCTGCAGGAACCTTAAACCATCATTACTCTATAGACACGTCTCAATTAAACCCTAAAGAAATGAGTGAAACAGTCATGAAGACAATGACATAGTCAGTTAAACTTCAGAGATCGAGATAATAAAAACAAAACGGTCTGTGGTGGTGGCCACAGACCATTCAGGTTACAGGTAGTCCGGCTCTAGCGACATGGCACATCCATATGTGTCATTCCGAGAAGGTTTGTCTCTGAGCACAGTCTCAAATCTGGAGCAGAGGGAGGTTGTTACAGGCCGTCAGCAGCAGGACCGGTATCTGCTCCTTTGTGCAGGGAGGAACAGGAGGAGCAGAACCTCACAATGACCTTGAGCAGGCTAAACCTGAACAGACCATCTGAATCAGAATGAAAGGATTGGACTCCGTTATGGTATCATGTCCTTTAGCAGGACCTGTGCTCAGAGCCCAACAGCATGCAGGTTTACCACTGGCACCACTTCTGACAGATGTAAATAAGTCTGAAGATGGCGTGGTGTTATGCTGATAACATGTTATATTCCATTTGTTAAAAAGTCACAAAAGGTGTCGGGTTAAAAAAAACCCAAAATGAGATGTGGAGTCAGAATTCTTAAATTAAAAGGTTTTATTAATATTTTTGTTCCTAATTAAACTGAAAGAAACAGACAAGTTGCTGTCACCTTTAAAAAAAAGGTTAAAACAAACAAACAAACCCAGGAATTGGTCAATAATCAGAAAAGTCAAAAAGGTTAAATCACCAAAACACACACACTTGCCCACAGAGCAGGAGTAAGCAGCCACCACACACAGCTCACTAGCTGCGAAACAAAAATGCTCTGCGGCTCTACAGATCCCCTTTTTCTAGCCTTAAATACTCTTATTAGAGTAGACTCAGCTGTACAAAAAGGGTGGCACCTACAGCACGTGAGCTGGCAGGACACATGTATATAGGGTCAGAATCCAAAGAAGCACAAATATTTGTATTTCAGATCCGTCAGTATTTTTTACCCAACTTCATGTGTACCATCCACGTCCTTTTTAGTAAGCTTTGGTTTAAATGATATTGGTGAAGAAAGCTGAAGAATGACTGCAGTGGCACATTTATTTTACTTAGTTGTTACATTATCGTATTAGAAAGAGAACCTTTATGTAAATTTAAATTGCCAATTGCCATCTGGATTTATAAAAAATAACAATAGGTAATCTGAATACATTGAAAAGGTAAAAGTACTTTTATGTCATTTATAGGTGAAAATGTGTTGTGAAATCCAGTGGATGTTTTTCTGTTCTACTTTCTGCAAATTGATACCACAGGTGTATCTATTAAAAAATTTAGAAATGTTCAAAACTCAGTGACCTCAAGATCAGAGGTCTAGTTTTCTGAGAATCTATTGAATGCTATAACTCAAGACGCACCTTTGATTACCATAGCTGCACCTTCTAGGAGGCTGAGGAGCACCACTGGGGCCGTCAGTATTTTTACACTTGCTTGACAGCAGGTGTCACTGTCAGTCTGTTGTAATCACGGCAGTGTCACTAGCAGTGGGACAAACGAGGAAACGCTGTAGATGCACTTTTGAAAGTCTGAAACATACTGTGGTCTTGTAGTCTTCTGTTTTTCTTGATGACTTAACATCAGACCAAAATGAAATATTAACCACAGACAGTCTGACTTGTGAAAATGTCTGTGGGTGCCAAGAAAGATTCTTTGTTCATTCAAGCTTAGGTTATTTTTTTCTGGCTTGTTTAAACAAGTTTGTAGGTCTCGTAGACTAGTTTTATAGGTAACATTTGTATTCCAGCACACACTCACTGGCATTTCATTAGGTATGCTGTACTGCTGGTTTGGCTTCAAAACTGTCTTGATCTTGATCAACATGGGCAACAATTTCTCAATTGGTACCAAGGGGGCTCAAAGTGTGCCAAGAAAATTTCCCCACACTATTACATCACAGTCAGCCTGAATCACAATACTTTTTAAATTCCAGAGACAGTAATGAAATATTACAATCGGTTACAAAGTAATAAAATATATTGAAATGGCTCTAATATGTGCAAATAACTTCCAGTACATTGCACAAAGTTGAATATATATATAGTTGACAGTGAGTTGCCTCTATAGATACAAGGAGGGATCCATGATTTCATGTTGTTTACGGCAGATTCTGATCCTGCCATCCAAATGTTGGCAGAAGTCAAGATTCATCAGACCAGGTGACATTTTTCAATCTTCTATTGTCCGATTTTGGTGAGCCTGTGTGAATTGCTAACACAAGTACCAGTCTGGTCTTCTGCTGCTGTAGCCCATCAACATATTGTGCTTTTGTTGTAACGAGTGCCTGTTTGAGTTCGGTTTGCCTTCCTATCAGCTCAAAGTGTCTGGCAATTCTCCCCTGACCTCTGGCATCAACAAGTCAGTAAAAGATCCCACATATCAACTTTCCTCCTTATTCTGATGCTCAGTTTGATCTTGAGCAGGTCATTTTGATCATGTGTCAGAGTCCCTAAATCCATGGCTCAAAGAGGATGAAACGATCCAGCTGTAAACCCATACAAGCAACAGAATGATAATACTGGTGCTGATGAAAGTGAAGGAGCCTCCATGGTCCTCCTTCCCTGAGTTTATTGATATGCACAGACAGCTTCTGCAACTAATCAGCACTAAGGATAATGCTAGTATTAGCAAGTATTACAACTTCTCTTGATATGTTACAAAGTATACTGTTTACATATTTTCAGATACCTATTTTTTTATTTTATTTTATTTTTTTTACCAGTGAGAGGATATCCAACTGACAATATTAATAGTCTTCACAGCCTAACTGAGTGCACACAAAAGGGTACTTTACTGCTCAGGATGTAACACAAACCTGTTCAGGTATGAAGCAGGGTGCACTTTGCATTCTGTTTGGGCTGATGACTTTATGGCTGCCATGGTAACAGAGTTGTGATGTTGACAGAGACAAGTAAGCAACTTCAGTCATGCCTTTCCTTGTTAGATGATACATCACGGCTTCATTACTAGATTTTGCCTGGAGATGGTTTTGCAAGGATAGATCGCATTTTCCGCGAAATCCCGGGCGTGTTGCGATCAGATAAGGCAGTACCAGACATCACTGCTGGTAATTTTAAAATTCCCCGAGTCCGAGCCCCAGACTAGTGTGTCTCTTATTAACGGGAAGGCTCGAATATATTCACCATTTATCAAGACATTACAGTTGCACAGTCTCAGGTAGAGGGGTGTGCCTATAATCTGGTCACCATGTCGGCTGTCATCATCTTCAGGTACAGTCAAAGAAAGAGACTGAATTTATAAGCCATCACATGCAGAAAAACAGCCACACAAACAAGTTGAAATTATTTATTTAAGCTACAGTATGTTCATGCTTTACAGCACTTTTTAAGACCTCTTGCTCGGCGTTGTGTAGCAGATCAGGAGCTTTAGTTTAATCTGACTCTTCTACTACCACATATACTATGAATATTTTCTTTCATTGTGCTACACCGTGGGGTTAGGTAGAGGCTAGTAAGGACAATGCTTTACCCACCCGTCATTACTCAACAGTTCATAATCTTTTGGCATGAACAGACCTGCAGTTTTTTGGAAGCGATGTTTCAGCATTGCCCCTTATGGGAAATGAAAGAAATGGATTATGAGATTAGGAAGACTGATATGAAACTTTTATTAGAGTGCAGTCTGAACCTCTAAAATCTATAAAGATGATGCTTGGTATACATATTCATTGAAGTAATATCCTCATTGTTTCTCGTAATCGTGACATTGGTTCTCCAGGTGTCACTTAACAATAGAACATGCTGCAGATAGAGTTCAGGTTAATTTGTCAACATTGTTTCGCCTTTATTTTTGTCCTTTGCATATAGTCTACAGGAAATTAGTCTTTAAGAGAGCCATGAAAGGAGTCTGCAAGCGCTGCTATCAGTTATTTAGTCTAGACAGGCCCTCCTTAGTCATTTCATGAACTCTTCATGACAGCTAAGCTTCCACAACTGACTGAATCCCTCCTGACAAAACATATTGCACTTAGTTTGTGTACCTTATACATTTTAAGTCACATTCTTACTGTGTGAAACATGTGGAGCATGCAGCAGCAGCAGAACAAGATGCCATCATTGTTTCCTTCAGCGTGCACATTCTCTCTCTACCTTAACCTTTTTTTACTCTCTTACACAGAAACAGGAAAATGAGGGCGCATATTTAACTCCTGTGGTTTTATGAGTTTTGCTTAAAACCAGCATGACTCACACCTCACATTCCACCTCCACTTTTCTCAGTGTCAGCTCTCCTGCTTCTCCTGTAATTCTGCTTCTGTTAGGCTCCTTTTTCCACCTTTTCCAGAACCCCCCCCCCCCCCGGGACTTTTGCTTTTTTTTTTTACCATCTCCTCCTTTTGGCTCAGAGCAAGTTGGAGGCCTTCACGTCGCAGAAATCCGCTCGTTACTTTGACACATGCTTCCATATGTTTGCGGTTGTATGTTTTAACAGGGTGAGAACATAGTGTGGAAAAGTGCATGTGCAGTGTGGCTGCTAAGCTGGCAAAATTAAGTGCATTTATTCAAATTGGGATGGCTGAGAGCGAAGGAGCCCTCGGTGGGCCTCAGCCAGTGTCTTGGTTACCAAGTCAATATTGACCATGTTCGACGTGGTCACTGGCTATTAATAGGAGAAAGTGGAGCCATATAAGGTTATACGATTTGGTTTACTTTCAGTCTGGCTGGCTTTTATATCATAATATCAATTATAGGTCCCTGCTGCCAAATATGCAACTCTCAGCTACTAGTGTGTGTGTGTGTGTGTGTGTGCGTGCGTGCGCGTGTGTGTGTGTGTTTACACAGTGTGCAGCTGCCATGAGCCACAGCTTACCAAAGAACAGAGGGAGAGAGAGAGAGGGAGAGAGAAGACAGATAGAATTAAAGAAGAATGGAAAAAGCCGAGCAGAGTTACTGCAACGCTGCACTCCTCACGGTCAAAGCTAGCCTACGAAGATCAGATCGCGTTATCCCAGCAGCGAAATGTATCTGAGCTGCAACAGAGCAGGTTTATGCCATCCCGCATGAAGAAATAGGCATTGTGATTCTAGTGATGCTAATATCCTCTGTAGTTCACGGTGACCTTCAGTAAAGTGTCAGTGCTGACTGCTGTCGGGCCATCACCCATCTAGTGGCTGCTTTAATTCTTCCTAGGTGCTCGGGTGGATGTGGACACTTTTTTTTTTCCCCTAAGGTAGAGTATTGTTTGATCTCTTTGCACTTCTATCTCATTTGACTTTTCTAAGTGTTGTGATGTCAGGCTTTGAAGAACTCTTTTCATTTAGCATATAATCAGCTGTTAGAGGAGCTTGTATTAGTATCCCTTTGACCAGAGTTGTTCTTCTGGCGTTCCTCTTTGATGCTCTTTGACGTTTTTGTCTTCAGAGTTTCAGTCTGAAGGCTTATTGCCAGTATTTTGTTTTTTAGAGAACTTGGCTCGTTCACAAAAGCATAAATATGCTGTGACAGCAGTGACTCCTTTTTGATGGAGGATTTAAATATGGACTATAGACTTTACTGAGCAAAGTCTCACACTCATCAAGTCATCATGATGCCATATGTATGTTAGTATCCTGATAATCTTCAGTTGTGGTCATACTGGGAGCTCTCAGGTGAGAACTAGAGTATGTGAGATTAAGAGCAATGTGTTGCTCGAAACCCTAAGAATATGTAGTCCGCAGGGCCTGCGTAAATAAACTGAGGAGGCCTTGTTATTCCAGGTGGTGCAGTGCAGGTGGGGGTAGGAGACGGTCTGTGTTGATGTTGCCAGGTGTTGATGGTATTGCTGTTGCATGTATGCGATGTCATTTACTGTTCAACTGCTAAGCAAGACTGGCAGATTCATTTGCTGACTGCTTACATTAAAAAAGAAAGCACACACATTAAATATATAATCAGAGAAAGACTGGGAAATCAATCACGAACAGTTAGGTTGTTTTGTTTAGTTTTAGCAAAGTAATTGTGTGTGTTGTATCTGTATTTGTTCATGCTGGGATTACTACTGTTTATTATTATGAAGTAAAAGGTACTGCTGAAAAACTGGTGCTAAAGGATTTAACTTTATCTGAGGTCTTTAGCTGAGTAAAGTAAGGATTGCCTCTACTGTAAGTTTAGATAATTATAATTAATAATGGGTTTTAAAGCTTAATAATCAAGCTGCTGACTGTCTGTTCACACAAGTCTATGTTTACGCCGTCTTTGAGTGTGTCGGAGGGATCTCGAGTGTGATGGAAAAGCAGAGCAGACTGGAGACTGACTCGGGCAGGTGCAAGGACACGCAAACAATCGACGAGACAACAGAACAGGAACAGCGTAACGATGCTGCTAGAAATAGCGCCTGCCCTTGTTGAGGCAAGGCGAGCAGAAAGAGCGCGTGGCGGTGCGGAGAGGGTGCTGTGCTGGATTGTTCAATAGAAGTTCAGTTTTCTGTTTTGTAAAAAGACAAAACCATCTGCTCTCCCTCTGGGATTCGGGGCTTGGCTTCGTCTAACTGCTGCTTTCCCAGGAAACGGGTCAGTAATTTTATCGCTTAAATTCAATGTGGTATCTTTGGCTACGCTAGACCTAAAAATGTTGGGTTTGGGGCGTGGGATGTTGCTTAAACTGTGAGTGATTCAGTCCATTCTTAAGCAATGCGAGTCAATGATTAAGTGCTTTAGCGAGCTGGCACAGTTGGCCAGCAAACAACTGACAAAGACTGAAAATTGAGAGACGGTGATGATTTTTATTAGGCAAAAGTTCTAATAAATTCAATTTGTTGCGTTAGAGTAGCTGCCCCATGAGAGTGATTTATGTGGGATAAACTGTGGGGGTATAAAGAAGCAGCAGTAGGGCATTTCATAACAAAATGATATTTGATTTTACTCTCACTTAAGTATTTTGTGCTTGGAGAGTCTGTACAAACAGAGTGCGAGGAATCCATGCATTTTAGTGGGTACACAGCACAGTGTAATAAAACTAATACTGAGGACAGTGTGTGCCTTTTAAATGGGGTTCACAGCGAGTTTTCATATTTACAGGAGGAGGCAGAAAACCACTTAAGCCAGCAGCGTGCTTGTAAAGAATCGCCAGTGGGGAAAGACCCTAAAAAGTGGAAATTGTGTGTTAGTCTAAGAGCATGCGTTTATATGAGCGGAGATAAAATTTCTACACTGAATGCAAAAGCCTTTTTTCTGCAGCAGTGGGAGTAACTGTTTCATTTACGTGCCTCTGGATGCTGCACGTGGATGGACATCATCATTATTCACAGTTAAATACCAGAACACAGGACTGCATTCTAATAAACAGGCTCAAGTGTTTGTTATCATATTTGTGACAGAGTCACCCCTGCCTATTTACATATGTGCTTATGCATCATTGAGTATGAGTGTATGCAAGTACCCTGCTGTTTGTTTTTCTTTCTTTTAGCACAATATTAGAGGAAGAGAAGGTCCAGCAGAAGGAGAGGAACAGGATGGAGATGAGGAGACAGGTCACTGTTTCGTGGGATTCTGGAGGGTCTGATGAAGCACCACCAAAAGTAAGACACTACCACACCACATGTTTTTGTGTGTCTGTGCGTTTGTGTTCGTACGAGTGCACAGTGGTGTTTTCTGTGCTGTTGACACCCTGATCATTGCAAACACTGAGTGCTTTATAGCCACAATTACAGACTTTTAGTTTTCTTTCTTTTGGATTTGTGATAGGTTTGTTTCCAACTTGTTGTATTACCCAAATATCTAACTGTTAAGCACTGTTAAGTCTAAAGAGGAGAAATCAGCACGTTTATGTTAACACTTTTCACATGATGACATGTCAGTTTGCACCCTTGTGATGCAGTCAGACGAGTCATAGCAGAAGTCAAAACAAAGAGATGAGAAAAGATTTAAGCTCTTTCATACAGACTTTTCAAGGAGTGCCGTGTGTGTCTGTGTGTGTGTGACCACGTCCCTCCTTGTAAAAATGCTAACACTGAAAAGGAAGGAATGGATTAACTTGATATATTCTTTGATTTTTGATTTTTCTTTCTGCATTCAAAACGCCGTTTGTATTTCAGTGATGCCAGAGTTTCCTATTATGCTTTTTCACTATGATGATTGTGATGACTGTGCAAATGCTTGACCACAACCAAACCCTGTTACACAAGACAAGAGCAAGAAGAGAAAACTTTTTTCTTTCTTCTTTTCCTTTTACTTTGTCATCATCCAATCTGAAAACCAGACTTGTCTCTTATTTTTTCTCACAAATGCACAATTCTTTAACTGTTCTGTTTGCTAATCCATAAACCCAGCCCCCAACTGCTACCATTACTCCTCACAGCTTGTTGCCTCAGCTGCTGGTTGCTTTATCCTCACTTACGGCCTTATGCTACCCTGCTGTTAGCATCTGATTTAACTGCTTCCTTCGGCTGCAATGAAAGCCAGATGTCTCGAGCAGAAGTTCATGAGATGGAGATATGTTTTTTTTTTAAAGGGTTAGGGTCAGGCTAGTTTTGTTTGCCAGTAAACAGCTGGTTCATTGGCAACATAATGAATTGAAGCTGTTGGTTTGGGAATCTTGATGCATGCTCAATCATTCAGGTAAGGGAATCTTAAAAAGTTTATTCTGTTCATCTGGACGTAGTGAAGTGAAGAAGTCAGTTGGATGAGCAATAAAATGTTTCTGCTACTGAAAACGCTACGTCCAGATGAACAGAATCAACTTTTTAGGATTGGTTTGAGTACAATCTGTAAGCTTATTTGCTGCATGACTTAGGATACAGTTGTGTACATCTGTCTATGCTTTATCTCTTCCCGGCTGTCACACTGTGACACTTTTATTTCGACATGTCCCTCCTCTACCTTTGTGTTTCTGCAGCCCACCTTCAGTATGGATTGTGTTTCTGCTCCTTCTCATCTTCACTGCCATCAAAAACAGTGCTTTGCCTCGCAGCTTTCCCTCTGCACTGGGAACCCTCATCCTCACCTTCCCACTTATCCTCTCAACTTATCATCTCTAAAACGTCTGCAGCACTTTTCCTCTTCTCCCAGCCCTCAGCCTGAGTCACCCCCTCAAAACAGCACTTATTACAGCAGCTCTTTGTCTCCCTGCAACCCAGAGTTAAATAGTGAATTCAAATCTTACTCCTCCCTGTTGGTTCAAGAACAAACTAATGTCTTTTTTCCACTTCACACACATTTGGACAGCCTGTCCAGCAGCAGCTGCCCACGAAAGACAAATCCACCTACTAACAGCCACCTGCTCCCTTCCTCCCATTCAAAGTCAAACAACACCCACTTCCATCCCCAGCATTTCTCTCCTTTCCTTTCACAGTCCAGTCCCAACTTTAACTCTCTGCCCTTCAGCACGTCAGATGTTTGTCCCCACACCCTCCATAGCATCCAGCCCGAGTCAAATTTTGATCTTAAGACCCTGCAGTTGCACAGAAACAGCAGCTCTCATACCCACCGTCAGACTAATCGCAGTACTCCACTCCAACTGCACTCTGACGCCCAGACCTGCCATCCTGCTGTGCAGTCATGTGAGAAGTCCCCGCTCCCCCCTCTTGCCCCACACACAGTAGCATCTGCCTGTAATCTGTCCTCTACCCACCTTCACCCATCCAGCCAAATGCATAACCGCCCCATAACTACCCACGTACCTTTTTCCATCCTCTGCTCTGAAAGACCCAAGTCTACACCATTGAAGGCAGGTGGTGTGCTGCTAAACTACACTAAAGCTTTTTCTACTAACAGGAACAAATGTGAGTGCACTTATTTAAAAAAGGAAAAAGAAAAACGCTGCAACAGTCCCATTAGTGATGCATGTTGGGTAGGGTCAGTTAACATGACAGGTCCGATCGCTCAACATAAGTAAATAGTTACTTTTTTTAACATTATTTTATGTGAACATTGATTTTCACAATCTAAATTCCATTTTCAACATAAAGTGGGATGAGAGTTGCAGCATTTTTTTAATACTCTCCACTGAGAAGTAAAACTCTAATCTTTAGACCATTATCATAATTACTGTGCAGGAGGGAGTTTTTTCCATGGGTTTATGCTAAGACTGCTTGCATGCTTTGTTCTCGCAGGACAGGCCGTTGAAACGTCCTCTGCACTCTGTGATTGAATGCGGCCACATATATTTGTGTTTGCGTCTGTCGGGCATAGTTTTGGCGTGTCCTCGGATTAATGCACCCTATTTCTGGCTTGTTCAGGAATGCCTTCAACGAATCCTTAATCCAGTGGGCTAACACTGACTAATCGAACAAACATGACACTTCTGTGGAGTGCATGTTATATCAAAAAACACAAATATCTGATCAGTTTTGGTGAGGTCCAGAGGCAAATGTAACACAGTAACACACTGTGATTAAATACCCTCTAAGCATATGGACCTGCTTATGCATTGTACTATATCACATTCCTTTATTGCATAATATTATTAAATCAGGTTGTCTCACTGAGATCTTTTTCAAGTGAGATCTATGCAGAAAAGATATTCAAAGTTTCTACTAGTGTTTAGATGAACATGTGAAGACCGTAACTATAAATACCAGATGAGGGTAAAAGGCCTGCGTGTGTCACATGTGTCACATGTGTACACTCTGTCACCTTGAACCAGGTTATGGGTGGCAGCCAGTAGTAGTAGTAGTACACACAAGCTCTAGGTAATCCTGTTTTCAGGGTAAAAGGTCAGTCTCATGGCAGCACACAAACACCATTCACATATTTTCTGTCTTGAAGTGTATGGCTTCTTGTAAAATAAATATATATGGCTACAATTTCTCTAAAGGTGAGAAATCAGCGAGGAACAAGCTTTCACATTGGCCTGTTTGGCTCTTTGCTGAAAAGTTCAATCCTCACCACAACCAGGATCAGCTCCTGTTATTGGACATGATTATATGTCCTCCTGAGATCGAACTGGGGAACTTTTGTTTATTAGGTAATGTGTGAATCACTACACTGAGAAAAGCTTTAATCACTCCTTTCTTGTGGAGCTTTGCCATGGTGTCACACTTGTAACAATGCATGTCTCTCAAAATTATTGAATTGATTCAAAAATAAATAAATAAAAATTCCACTTACTGTTTTTCCCAACTGTGCTGTGCAGAAATTGTATTTTTAAATGACACACTCTGTTCAAAGGTGTAGTAACTGGATTTCAGAACCTCTGAACCTTACATCAGCAGCATCTCAAACCAAAAAATCTTGCATTTCAACCACATCTATCCCCCCTTCTCCTTTTTTGTTTCATTTAGATTAAAGAAAATAAAGAGAAGAGCAGCAAAAATGCTTTACAGGCTATCATACGGAGCTGAGATGAAAAGAGTGCATATAAATTTGGTAAATAGCACGAAAGGCGCACTAGCCGAACACTCCACTAAGAGTGCTCGATCTGTACATTTTTGGAACACAGTTGATTTCAAATCCAGTTTTAATTCAAGGGATTTAACAAAAATATTCCTGTAAATGTTTATGACACATATTAGAAATTGTGTCACTGTCCAAATACTTATGGGCCTGACTATATCTCACCTCAGCACTTTCAGAGGGACAGGCTCACAAACACTAACATGATGAACAGATTTGGATTGTACCATGGTGGTGGCCCACTATGAGCTTTTAACTCTGTGCTTTATTTGATGCTGCTTGAGTTGATTATCTCATGTAAATGCTAAGTGCTGTAAATGCTAAAGGTAGTTTGAAAAATGAAGATAAATTGCTTCTAGGCATATCAAGCACCATTTTACAGAACAAACCAAATCCGCATGCGCCTATTGCAGTTTTGTTTAGCAACAATTAGCTCAAACACCAAAAAAAGTTTATGGTGTTCATGTAGGCATTTCCTGCTCATGTACATAAACCTTTTCAATTCAAAGCAACTCTTCGAGCAAGGTCCTAGAAACCTCTTAGTTGGTTGCACATGGATGCAATGGTCAGAACCTGCATTAACGTCAGAAGTGCATCAGCTTATTTGTTTCTCAGATGGTCTAAACTCCTGTAACTATTATGTTTTTACATTAGGTGGTGCAGTTAATCCAAAATCCTTTCTTTATTTGGTTATTAATGATGAAATTCAGTTATTCACCCAAAGCTTTGCAGATATTAGCCAATGTTTGGCTTTATTAGCCGGTGTGATTAATTTCCCATCTGTCTGTCCCTGTGTGTTTATCTTCCTATTTTTATCTTGGGTATTCCCAGGGAAACCTCCCTCCCTGTGGATTGACTGCCAAAGGAAAATTAATCTGCTCGGTGCAGATTTAACCTTCCAAGATATAGTTTTGTTCATGTAAACCCTTCCATGTGTGAGCCTGTCCACAAACAGGCTGAACGTTTCCATCGTTTGCCCTGACTGTGTCTGAACATTTGAAGCCAGTTTTTGTCTCGTCTTCAGTGTCTTTGTCTTGTCTGCTTCTCTTTGTCCTTTCTCCCCCTCCCTTTCTGTTTATTTTTCCCATTTTTATTTTCTTTCCTTGTCTCCTTATTATCCCACTTTGCCTTTCTTTGCATTCTGCCTCCCTCTTCATGTGTCGTTGTCTCTCGTCTTGCTGTCGGAGGTGTGGTCCAGAGAAAGCTACTATGAGAGACTGTGGAAGGTAGAGGTTACAACACTGCCATGCTGGAAACGAGCTCAATGTGTTAGAGAAGTTCAAATCATTAAGAAAAAAATGTGCCCAGAAAACAGTTCATCAACTGTGCATCAACCAGCAGCAGAGGAAACAACACCGTGGGTTCACCAAGCACTTCTGTTTTTAGCTGAAACTACGAGTGAGAGGAAGAGTATCCTGCGTTAGAGAGCTGCTGATCTCTACTAAACTTTGCTCCTCTGGCCAACAACACAGAGCAGACGATTGTTCTGCTTATTGGGAATAATTTAAACTCCTTTTGCTTTTATAGTTCATAAGTGTGCTTGAAAGAGAGGTCTTGGTGAACATGTAACTCACCTGCATCACATCTAACATGTGAGCAACAGATTATCTCATCGTTGTCTAGCAGTTCTCCATGGGTGTCGTGGTTTGTAGTCGTTCGACTAACAGCTTGCTGTACTTGCAGCCCAGTGGGTGTTCCCTGTTTTGATTGACAGCTAACCCGGCCACACAAACAGCTCCTGGGGGGGTTTGTGTGTTGATTGTCTGAATGAAGTGTCTTCTAACATTTCTTTGGAGAAAATATAATTGTTACAAATATAAAGTGTTATAACTGCACCTTTGTTTTTCCCAACTGTCTTTCTGTATCTCAAAATACCTTTCCTTGATCTTTCTTCCTTTTTTTCTTTCTCTTCTTTTTTTTCTCATTTTCCGCCTCTGTAGCCAAGTAGACCTGGCTATCCCAGTCCTCGCTCAAGTGAAGGTTTTTACCCCAGTCCTCAGCATCCTGGACACTATCAGGTATGTAGACGAACTCAACAGCTCTGTCACTGCATGTGTACTTGCTATAATTGCATCAACGTCTTGAGATTTTTCAGAATCAAAACATTAAGGACAACCTGTCTCTGTCCCTGTCTTCACTTCGGTTTCAGATGGCAGGCTATCCAGGCCCTCACACACTCCCCTCTGTGCCTAGCGCCTTGTACCCACCTCAGGCGGCAATGCTGGACACCCACCACGCACACACACACCCCCGCCACCATGTCCACACCCATTCGCACGCACAGCTCCTTCCCCAGCCTCACGGACAGGATATGGCGCTGTGGGGCTCTATGATGGAGGTAGGATTCTTAATTTCACTCTTATAGACATGCATGCACGCACGCACGCACACACACACACACACACACACACACACACACACACACACACCACACTCTCACAACACACACACACGCACAGACACCAAACAAAGCAAAGCACGCACACACTCACTCTGAAATCAGACTCAGACAACTTTATTAATACACAAAAAGGGAAATTTAGTTGCAAACTCAACTAAGATGTGACGCAGGCACAAATTAGCAAACTATGATGTCAAAAAACAAAAAAACCTATATAATAAACAAATAGAATAACAAGGACATTTGTCCAAAAATCAACAGTCATAGTGATCTAATAGCTGAGGGAAAGAAGCATTTTAAGCTGTGATGTGAGTTTTGTGCTGTTTGTTGGTTGTGGTCACTGGCTGTTACGCTACATGTATACAATAAGTGAAACGCAGTCATGTGACCAGAGGTCATAGAAAGGCATTCAAATTCAGCAACTTCAAGAAAACTCTGCTTTCAGTGTAAAGCGAGTCCCAAAATAAAAAAGCAATTGAAGTGGAAATCACTGAGAGGACAGGATCCCATTGATTAACACCTGACAGGCTAATAAATAGATTAAAAGGTTACCTAGACAACCTGAAACTCTACTAGTGGCCAACGAATCATCTTTTCAAGTGTGACAAACATATTGTTTCTTCTGTGGAGACAGTTACACACCAGTCACACTTTTTTTTTTTAAATGGGTTGCAAAACTTTTCCAGTTTCCACACCAGTTTTTTTTTCACAGAAACACCCCCCTGACACCTCAGTTGTTTTTAGTATTTGCGTCCACCACCTCAGTTCAGCCTCTCATCAGTCTGGTGTATATGTGTGTTCATCTCCATGTCTGGCTGTGTGTCCCCGTGCTGGTGTGCATGTCTGTTATGCTATGCTTGACTTTCTGTTGCACATTTGTGTGTGGATGTGTGTGTGTGTGTATGTGTGTGTGTAGGACAGGGCAGTAGACATGCAGCAGTGTGTAGGCCAGCAGTGCCTGTTAATGGAGGAACAGCTGATCATACAACAGCAGCAGATGGAGGAGGATCAGAGGTGGCTGGAGCAGGAGGAAAGGCTGCTGGTAAAGCACACCCATGCACAACTGACACATGCACACTACGGATGCTGTCACAGTGCATTTAATTGAGATTTACTTTGTCTTGCTTCTGTATGGTTGGCTAGATTTAAGCAGCTGTGTGGGGTAAACAAAAATGTCTAAAGACTAGCGCATTTGTGCAGCCCTGAACATGCCTCTTTGCAGCAATAAAGGCAAAGCAGCTACATTTAAGGAAGTTTGACGTGTTCTTGTTGGATTTATTTTGTGCTTTTCTGAGAGGTTGTGTATGGTGCATTGTGTCAGTGCTCACTGTAAGGAAAAGATGTCTTGTTTAGTTGCCGTCTTTTTGCATGATGTCGTAACTCCGTATTCAGAAAGTGTAATCACTTAGTTTGGACTCATTTTTTAAAAAGTTTATCATTGTGTCCACACACATAAATATACTTAAGCCCTTAAATTATTTGATTTGAAAACACTATTGCACTTAAATGTGTGTTTTTACCGTGGCCCTGAGAGCTCAGTGCATTGCAACTTAAGGAAACACAAGCGAATCAAACCAACAGGAAACCATCCTCGCTAATTTCCTAGCACGTATGCAACACGAAGACAAATAAAATGCTGCAAAGTGAAAAAATGCCACCAGATACTGAAAGGAATTTAATGGAAATGCTCATTAAGAAGTGCAGAAGCGTGTTTGATATTGCCTTGAAGTTACTGAAGTCTCGTAGCTGTGATGGGAAATGAGCTGTATTCGATTTCGCTGTGACGTGGTCACACTCCTGAAAAATCTGACCTGTATATGATTTACAACCACACACAGAAGTGGGGAAAAATGAAAATCTGCTACGTGAGAATATTAGATGTCAAATGTGATTTGTGTTGTTCACATTGTAATAAAAAAAGTTCACTAAGAGTTGCATAAGAGCAAAAGAGTTGAAACCCTTTTCTCTGCAGTCTGAATTCAGCCACAGACATTTGAAGTTTGAGGTGAAGGTGTCAGTGGTGTCAAGCTGATTATATATATATTTTTTTTTAACAGCGCTGCAGTTTGAGTTGTCTGCTGCGGCGTCTTTGAGCTAGAAACCTTAAGGCTGCTATTACAGTGACCCTGCTCTGATGTGCTGCAGTCAGTGCTGGTTAGAGAAAGAATCAGTTAGGATGCCTCCAAAAGTCTAGTTCCTATGTGGTTATGAAAATGACTGTCGTCTTCAAAAGAGTTTTACAATGACCTGTTAAACAGTTACTGTGCAGTATTTCATCAACTTGCATTCCTCCTTAATACCATGCTGCTGAAGCCTTGGCACTGCAGCAATGTGCAAATGTAGATTAATTACACTTTGCTTTTTTGCACAGGATATGCATAAGCATCACATAAGTCTCATCAATTGTGTTCATTCATAGCATGTGCTGACATATATGGGTGAAGTGTGTGGACAATAACATCCATGTCTTCACAGTTTAAAAAAATGTTACTCTGTACTCCCTGTCACTCACTTTCTGGTTTGGAATTTACAAAGAAGAAAACGTGTCTCCTCTGATTGTTAGTAATGGGTAGCTGGATACCACTCAGTTCTTCTGGTAAGACTCATCCAGACGAAGATGAGTGAGCGCAGGGTTTGACATGACAAGAAGAGGTTGGCAAAGAGGGTTTTTTTTAATGTAGGATGCACTTTTCTGTGAACACAGAATTAAGGAACTGTCTGGGGTTTTTTGTTGGGTTTTTTTTTGCTTAAGACTTTTATAGTGCGTGTTTGTGTGCGTGCATGTAAGAGAGAGTGAGTTTGTAGGCAGGTGTGGCCTGTGCAAATTCCAGGCTAATGATAGGCTTACAGAATCTGACAGCCCAGTAAACAGTCTGTCTTTGACCCACAACCACTAAATGACAACACGCGAGATTACTGAAAAGATGGGGAGGTATAGTGTGTGTGTAGGGGTGGGTGGGGGGTGTTTCTTATAGGCTGCCTGGTTTTTATAAGACTGTCACTTGAGTGAGGGACTAGAAAGGGGTGGGAAAGAAAGGGAGGAGAAAGGCAGGAGGTTTTGGGAAAGAAGGGTAGACACGCTCGCATACTGACAGCTTGTTGGCAGCGTGCTTCTTCCCTCCTCCTCTCCTTCCCTCTCTCTGTGCGTCACCGTCAGACATAAGAGTGGTGGAGGCAGGAAGCTGGAGTTGAATCTGAAGTCTTCTCTGGATGAAACTTGCAGCACTGACAAGATTACAGAGAAAACCAGACAGGGGAACATTCAGAGCGTAACAGAGGGTACAGTGCGGGATACTGGAAAGATCCCGAGATAACAGCAGAGACTAAACGCCTCACTCGAACGGTTCACACATCAGGCTTCTTTGATGAACTCTGCGGCGATGCTGGTCTTCAAGTCCTGTCTTGGAAAGCTGGTATGAGTGGATGCGTGTGTGTCAGAGAGGGCAATGAGTGGGACTTTGTGGTTGTTTTGTGTGTGGTTTTATTTCGGTTTGCATGGCAGCACTAATAGAAACATTTTTCTTAAGTTAACTTTGTGTGGAGGATCCAAAAAAGCCTTTTGGACACTACACCTTTGTGTATCCTGCGTTCCAGTCTTCATAGGAGGTTTTGTGTTTGGACAGTTGTGCTTTTTTTTTTCTGCCACAGCTTCATCATTTATCCATGAAGTATATCTCTTTTTTTTTTTGTGAAACATTTGGATTATTTGAAAAAATCCCTACTGCAAATCGAAGTATATGGATATGGATTTGGTAAATGGAGATGTAATGTTTGATTGTTTGTGATTGCTTAGAAACCCGACACGAGAAGTTCGAGAGGTAGTCTGGACAGAGAAGACAGTGGACTCCAGCCACCGGTAAGTTCCTTCTTCTTGTTTCTCATTAATTAGTTATACCCATTCACATCAGGACAATAACTCACAGACATTCCTACAGGTGCGAGTTGAACTGTCTCTGTTTGTTTCTTTCTAAATTTTCACTGTCCAAATCATGTCCAATTTTCTGACCCCGCCACTTTATGAATGGGAAGATATTTTCCTGAAGTGTTTGTGTTTTTAACCACGGAGGATGTCTGATGAAGACGAATGTTGACGGACGTCCGTGTTATGGTCAGACTCACTGCTGCGGCGTGTTTGTTTTCTTTTCAACTGACTGATTCAGGGACAGGAAGTGACCTGTTGAGGGTAAAGTCAGCAATGTGGGGTCAGCAGTTTCTCACAGCGTAACTGGATATTAATGGAAGGGTGTTGCACTCAGTCCCAGAGTGTCCTGGTGGCCGATTTTAGTGATTGTCCATCTGTAAATAAATACTTCAGAGTGTGAGAAGCAACTTTACTGGTAAAGGATGTACGATCTGGGCACTGCTGGCAGCCCTTTGGTTGCACACAAAACACAGAGTTGCTGAGATATTTGCATCTTGCAACTTCTCCCCTTTCCTCCTGTTGTAATATCTAGTGTGTGTGTAACTGTATCCCAAAGCTGGAATCTCTGCAGCTGAACGCAGAGTTGCATGTTGATGTTATTTCCCCAATGCCAGCAGAAGTTTTTTCAGCAGTCTGAAGTTGCCATGAGTTAGATATTTCCGTCTCTGTAATTCATCTCACTGCTTGTCCTCCTCCTCCTCCCATTGAATGGTTGTGGTTTGTGGTGGGAAAATCTCCCTCGTTCGTGTGTGTGTGTGTGTGCCTTGGTGGAGTATTTTTGGGTGTTGGTGGTTGTCAGACCACAACACAATGATGGCACCATGGCTTTTGAGTCCTTCTGTGCTGTTTTCTCACACACACAAAACAACAGGGATGCAGTAAAAATACAATAAATTTAAATATGTAACATTCCTGGCATTTTGTTCTCACAACCATCACATCATGTAAACATGCTGCAGTTTTAAAATGCTAGCTCTAACAAAAGAAACACTTTGTTTTGTCATCCTCTTCCTGTCAAACAGAATATTTTTGTTACCATAAGTTACCCAACGCAGGACCACACAGCACAAAATAACAGGCACAGCTCCTCTGCCGCAAATGACTGTGAGCTAGCTGTGTGCGAGCTGAGGCTCGGTGTCACATGACAAAGTAAATTGGATTCTGTGCTGAGGCCGCTGGTGGTTTAAAGCTGTGAAGTTCTAATTTCCTGCAAAGCTTCTGATTATGTCTGCGTCTGTGCAATCGCTAACCCAGTGCTTTGTTTTGTTGTTTGTTTGTTTGCGCAGACAGGAAACCAGCACATATACCAGCCCGTTGGCAAACCAGGTAATAGATGGGGCCTCAACTCCGCCACAATTACATGAGGGCAACCACTATTGTTATATGCTGTCTTCTCTTTCTCCCAAGATATGTAACTTACACATATACCATCACACAGTGTAGCACGCTGTGTATCTCTGGCCTTTCTGAGGTCAGCGTCTGTCTGCAGGGTTTAGTCTGTGGTCACGGTAAGACAGATCCAGCTGTGAACCTGCTGGCCTGCTAGTGAGAACACCAACCTGTGGTTATATGGACTCAAACAGCATGTCATGTTCAGTATGTTCAGTGCTCAGAGCGTAAATATACAGAGAAAACAGAAACGTATAGTAGCCAGCTGGGGGATGATTTTCCAGGATGGAATATCGTTTTTTTCCATTTAATGTTTCCTGATTCCTGATGGATACTAATGTAGAGGAAGAGAGACGTTTCATACTTGAAACAGTTTGTGGGAGACTTTATAAATCAATCAAAACTTTATTCATGCGACAATTTTAATACCACTTTGCAATTGAATGTTCTTTACAGAACATCATCAAATGCAGAAGAGAAAAAGAGGCTAAAATGTGTGAAAAGAAGTAGAAAGCATAGATACAATTCAAATAAAAACCAAATCTTACGAGGTGACGCTTTGTTTGGCAAAAAATTAGCCTGGAGTTAATTATAATCTGTGTTATAATCTGAGCTGCTGCGAAACCAAAGTAAGCATCTGCCCACACTTCTTAGGAATAAATTGTGAGTAGAAATATTTTTGTACTTCACACGTTGTCGATGTTGTTTCCTGCAGAGCATGTGGCCCCGCCAAAGAAACCCCCTCGACCTGGGGCCCAGTGCCAAGTAAGCAGCCTGGCCTGTCTAAATACTGGAGACAGTTACAATGATGGAGTCAAGGTACACACACACACACACGTGCATGAATGCACACGCTCCGAAGCAAAAGTACAAGCAGAAATACACACTGAATGAATGAATGAATGAATGAAATGCTCCTCCAGTAGCACATGGAGGGACACATTTACTGAGTGGACACAGTGCATGTTTTGAATGCTTGGAGCATTAATATTTACCCTTGTATCTTCTTTCCTTTGGCTGCTCCGTCTCTCTCTCTCTCTCCCCTCCCCCTCACCCCCATTCTTCTCCGGCACTCTGCCTTACTGTTGACCCCTAGCCCTGGCGGGTAAGCAGCACACCGTCTGTGTGTGTTTACTGTGCGTCTTGTCTCCTGTTCCATATTGTTGTTCCATATCCTACTCCTCCATCAGCCCTTTGATTTCTTTGTCCAACAAATCACATTCTGTTGTAGTATTAACTTCATCTCTGCACTTCCCCTTGTCTGTTTTCCTGCTTATATTGTCTTCTCTCCTTTTCTCAGATCTAAGTGCTTTTAACTTTTATAGATTTTTTTATTTTATTTACTTGAGCACTAATTATATGCTTCTCTTTGTAATTAGTAGACAAGTGAGTCTTTAATAAGATTTAATCTTTTTTTTCTTCCCCGGTTAAGAATTAAAAGGTTTTCCTCATCCTAGTAAAATAGGGTCATATTTTTTACAGATTATAAAGCAGCTAGTTTTCAAATGCTTATTTTTTCTAGATAAATGCTTCAAGTGGTTTCAGTAGGTCATTGTGTGCACAGCGTTGTATTGTTTTCACTGTAGGCGGTGATTTACTGATTACCCAGAATTCAGTAAGGACTGGAAAAGCGAGGGCGTGAAGGGAGATGCAGAAAAAATGTGCAAAATGAAGTGAAATTGCAAAGAGGATTAGAGTTTATACATGCATGCATGCATGACTGCGGGCGAGAGAAAGTCTTTGTATTCAAGATGTGGGAAGTATACCTGCAGGTAGTGGTCAGGTGATGTCACTGAGCAAGAGAGATGGTGAAGGAAATGGAAAGACAGAAATGAGAAAGCGCTTTATGTTAGTGCAAGATGATGATTGGTTTATATGGCAGGTTCAGGAAGATGTGACCTCCTACGGGGAATCTGTATTTAATTAAAATCCTCAACTGATAGGTTTACGGCACAGGTTATGGTAGTGTGACACTGCCATCTAGTGGCCAGAGAATACCTCTACATTTAGACAGTGTATCTGATATTCAGAGTGCTGGTGTTGTTCCTGGATCATCATAATTAATGTTGGCCCAGGTTCAACATTGCAAGTGACAAATCAAATTGTTATGATGTCATCGTCGACATGGAAACAAGACTTGCTGATGTCCACTCAGGAAAAAGTGCAAATAAGTGGGTGGAGAGGGTCAGGGTTAGGGCTATGGCTATGGTTACGGTGTTAGGGTTAGGGTCGATGGTGTGATGGTGTTTCCATGTCGCAAAACAATGGCATCACAACATGGGTATATCAGATGCACTTAACATAAGTAGAAACATAATAGATATTAATTCACTCATTAATCTACTTGTTTAACTCTCTTGATTATTATTACTTTACTTTGGACCTTTAAATGTATCTAGTGTGTAAGGCGGATGAACGTCTTTACAATCTAGCAGGATTTGTGGAGGTAAATGTTTTAACAAATGTTTTGTTTTCATCCACACTGTTTCAGCTGGTTTTTGTCATCAGTCTCCCACACTTCTTTCCCAGGTACACATTCACTCAAAGAACCTCTCACTCACTGCTTTTTGTCTTCTTCTGTGGTTTAGCTGCAGCCTCAGGAGATAAGCCCGCCTCCCACCGCCAATCTGGATCGGTCGAACGACAAAGTGTACGAGAACGTGACGGGATTGGTCAAAGCTGTGATCGAGATGTCAAGCAAGATCCAGCCGGCTCCACCCGAGGAGTACGTGCCCATGGTCAAGGTAACAGAGGCACAAACGGCAGTTTGTTATTTCTCTGAAGTGGAGCTGCAGGCTTTGAGCTAAAAACTCAGCACAGTAGATCAAAGCAGCTCTGTGCAGTTTAATAACCGCTATGTCCTTGAGCACTGTGACGCACTGTTTCAGTTTAATTGGCCGGTGCAGCTTTCCAAGGACGGAATTTCGACACTTCTTCTGCTCCTTCATGAATAATTTTTGCTTCATATATTAACCTGACTCTGCAGATAGCCTAAGCAGCTTTTCACCAAAGGGATTTAATAATTAGTTTTCCTGTGAGTCTTTTTGACAAAAATACATTTAATTTTATTTCTCCAAAGGGTTTTTTCACGTTGGTAGAAAGGGAAGAGCAGGGCAAACAGCCCGTTTAGCTAACATTGGAGTGTTCATCCCTTACTCCAGAATGTTTAGCCAAGCTGCTAACCTTAAGAAGGGACTACAGCACTGTGTCGTTTCTGTCTTCTCTATTAGAAATTTCAGATTTTAGACTATTTAAAACAAACTATGTGAATTATTGATACCACATGTAAGCTGTCCTGTTGTGAAAAAAATGTGTTTCAGGATGTGGGTCTGGCACTGAGGACATTATTGGCCACAGTAGATGAGACTCTACCTCAACTTCCAGCCAGTACACACAGAGAGGTAGACACCGTTTTTACTAACAAGCATTCACTTTATGTTATTAAACAGTTTAATGATTGTTAATAAATCACGTTAAAGCACATTATTGATCACACAGCTGCTCCAGCTTGTATTTTATTTTATACGGTTACGCTTTTCTTCACCAGATCGAGATGGCACAGAAGCTGCTGAACTCTGACTTGGCAGAACTGATTGCAAAGATGAAGTTAGCCCAACAATATGTGATGACCAGGTAGGTGCACAAACTAAAAGCATCACTTTGTTAGGTAAACCTTACCTACCTTAATTCTGGAAACATTGCTCAGAGGTTTTGGTCCTTAGTGACATGACAGCATTACACAGCTGCTGCAGGTTTGTCAGCTGTGCATCCATGATGTGAATCTGCTTTTCTACCACATTACAAAAGTGGACTAAGACTGTGATTGTGAACGTCATTTGAGTACAGTGAAGTCATCTCAAACTGGATCTGAGCTTTGTGACTTGGTGCATTATGCTGCCACTTAGGTGGGCTATGCCATTTAAACAATGCTCAGTTGGTACTAATGAGCCTAAGTGCACTGAGTTTCTGTCATGTGATTGGATGATTAGATATTTACACTAACAAGTAGGTTGAACAGATGTACCTGATAAAGTGGCCAGTGAGAGTGTGTGTCATGCTCACGTTCTTGATGCTGTCACACGTCTGCACATATGATCATTAATACTGCACTAACTATTAAAACTCTGATCTTGCATATATTCTGTATTGATGCTCCAAGCCTCCAGCAGGACTACAAGAAGCAGATGTTGACGGCGGCTCATGCTCTTGCTGTTGATGCCAAGAACTTGCTGGATGTTATCGACCAATCCCGGCTCAAGATGATGGCCCAGTCCCGCCCACACTAGCCCCATGTCGTCCGAGCTGACCAACAGGAGAGGGTGGCATCATCGTGACTTCTAAAGACTCCTGGGTTCCAGACGTCAGTCCTCATGTGTTGACGGAGGTGGCTGCTTTACAAATCAACGGCGAGAGCAGTGGCTCTGATAATCTGATAATGGTCCGCGATGAATCGTTAGAATTTTTTAATCCCGCTATAGCCGAGGTAATTAGTTCAACTGGGATTAAAATCTCCACCACTGTGACTTTCTGTATACGAGAACAGCGCAGAAACACTTCCTGAATCAGGGACTTGGCAGCTTCGCTCTCTTCAGAGTGGAATACCGCGACGAGAGGAGGAAGAAAGAAATCTACTCGTGATTTTTTTTTTTTTTTTTAACTGTAAATCTGGATTTGGGATGAGCCAGATTCTGCAGGTTAGAGTTTTAAATGGATTCAAAACTTCCGACAGAAACGCTATCATGAAAGCTGGTGAGATCGGGCGGATTGCAACCTGATCTGCAACATATCTGCATGAAACTTCACTGTGGGATCTTAGACGTCGGCCGCCCCCGTTTGCTGACGTTCCGATTCCTGAATGGGAGCTCCTTTCTCCAATCAAATATCTCTACATCGCCATACACATCACATGTTTGTTATGTTTTGTTTTTTTGGTGCCTGGAGTGGTACAGTAACAACAGTCTCGGTTTGGTCTTCTCCGACTCGTCATGCCTCCTACCATCTCTCTTTCTCTGTTTCCTCCATCTCACCGTTTTTTATTTATAGACTCAAATTGCAGAGGAGGAGACAGAGGCAGGAACGTAAAAAAGCAGAATACGCCTCGAGGACAGTCTAGTAACACTCTACTGCCTGAGGAAAGAAAACACTCTCCTCCCCTCTTCTCTCTATTTCACTCACTTTTCCTTTCCTTCACCCTTACTGCTCCCCTACTCCCACAGTCTTCCTCAGCTCCTCTCTGAGCCACTTTTAAAGACTCCAAATGTGAAGAGTCCAGCTCTGTGCGGGTAATCACCGCAGACAGAAACCTCCCCTACTCGCACTCAGTTCAGTCTGCTCTTTTTATCGATCAGCTCCATGTTTTTTTGTGTTGTTTTGAGGAATCTTCGTCCTCTATACTGAAAAATGTTGAACTTTCAACCCCAGCAATTGACTGCTGTGTAAAAAAAAAAAAAAAAAAGAATTGGAAAAAATGTGTTCAGCGTGAGTGGCAGGATGCTTCCGATTGGTTCACGAGGAAGAAGACAGTGACACGTCTCAGAGTGGTCGCTAATTTTGTGAGGTTCGTGTCTCCTTTTCCTTTTTTTGTCTCCTCACGTATAGTCCCAATATGAATCGTATGTTCATAATATAAGATTACATTAACTGTCCGATCACCCACTAGTGACACTTAAAGTATATTTCCCGGGGACATGAACAAACCTCATATCACATTTATGACTCCAATTCTCTTGTCAGGTGTAACACTTTAAAAATTCCCCCCCTCCCCGACTTAATAATAGTCCCCATGGAACCAAACACATGAAATGTGGAGCCACACGACTGGAACTTGTTTCTCAGACACAAAACACTGAACTGAAAATCACATTTGTCTTTGTTAATACTGACCCCATGTGGAGTGTCACATACTGCTATATGAAATATACTGGTGACTGTACTGGTATAGCATGATATACTGGTATAAAGAAGAGCATATTTGCACAGCACCAAAATAACACATCCTAAGTTGTTTCCTTTTTTGTTTCTTGTTTGTTTGTTTTTTATTATTATTATTATTATTATTTTTTAAACCCGTTTTATCCAGATGTGATTTCCATGTTTAGCCAGCAACGAAACTATCAGATCGATCAATCTGGGTGTTATAGGGATAAAATAAATGTAAAACAGAGGAGAAAAACCCCCCAAATGAAACAATCTATTTTATTTCCTTGTTGTTGCGTAAATCTGCTCATGTTGGTATATTGTAAGCTATACTGGTGTGTATCACTGGTGAATTGTACAGAACTCGTACTAGTAAACACTGGTATTTATTTTGTCTTCTGGGCTAATTAAGCCATCTTGTCAAATAGGAGGAAACAAAAAAAACAATGGAATAAAAATAATTATGAAATGAAATAAGTCTGTCCACTTTGTAGTTGATTGGGATTTATTTAAAGTGCCTTTTAGGATTAATATTTATAATTTCAAGTTAATGTTGGCGTAGATGTTTTTAAAGAGCATTCAGAAAATCATAAAGAAGAGAATTAGACTTTCTCACAATAAGAAAGGACACATTGCACTGTATATAACAATAATAACCTGTTGTACAACAATGCTGTTGCTTGCACAAGCATGGATTTTAGTGTTAAGGATGGGCTGCTGAAGTTTCAGTGGAGATATGATGGTGGAAATGGCTGAAATCTTACAGCACCTGAAAGATCCCTGCTCTGGAAGGTGCATGTGAGATTCAGAGAAGCCCTGGGAGAAAAAGCTTTGGTCAGATGAAATCAAAATGAGCTCTCAGGCATCCGCCTGACCAAAATCCCTCCTGAGATGTGTCCAAACCTGGTGACCAACTACAAGAAACATCCTTACCGCTGTGCAGCCAACATGGGTTTCTCCATCAAGTACTAAGTCATGTTTTAGGATCAAATACTTTCACTCACTGACATGCAAATCAATATATTTATTTTCTTGTTCTGTCTCTCTCTCTCAATTAAAATGAAACTACAGTAAACTAAGGAAAATCATAAGCAATCATAAGCATTTTAAGCAACTAATGTCTATATTCATTCATTTTTTTAACTGGGCTGTCATTTCTTGAGCATAATAGACATTTTTGACGATCAAATCTCCAGGAAAACCAGAAATCCGTAGATTTCTGTCAGATAAGCTAATATAAGCTTACTGCCTTTACCTTTTGTGGAATTAAAAGCTAAAGTCAATTTTTGAACCCTTTAACGTGTAACAACTAGCCCTGTCTGTCAGTATTATAAATACTACGATATCTAATTGTGCATGTGGAGTACACAGTGATATTTTAAAAGCTTTTTGTTAAACAGCCTCGAATATAAACAGTATTTACAAGATGCATAAGATTGCAGGTAGTGTGGAGACGGCAGCGGTGCAGTTTGTACGGTTTGCGCATCCCACTGAGCTCAGCGTGACAGCAGAAATCCCACACCGACAGTCAGGAGCAGCAGTTTGTTGTTTCTGTTGATGGAGTCGGCTTTGCTGAAGTTACACAAGTCATAGCTGCTGCAGCAGCTGACGGCGTTCCCGTTTCCGTTGGAGTCGACTGAGGCGGTGGAGGCAGCTCCTCTGCACGTGGCCTGGCTGGCACACTGCTTTGTTATGGCTGTCGCTGTATCTGAGCAGCACACAGACAAACAGCAGGGATTATAGTTTCTACACTGAGACTGACCAAGAGCTGAGTTTAATGAGTAAGTGCCCTTCATAAAAATCCTACTGCACAAAGGAACTTTAGAAGAATGTTTAGATTCATTTATACGTGCTACTAAACCTCTGTCAGGTTTCTTGATTGCACGTTGATGTTGTGAGATAAATTACCGAAAGTGTCGACGACAGTCATGCATGTGTTGAGAGGTGCTTTACACTCCTGGGTACTCTGGTTGCATTCTTCATTGGTTGCCGATGAGCTGCACACGTAGCACTTCAGTGGCAGCGCTGCAGATGTGAGGAACAACAAAAACTGAAACTTGATTGAAAGGCAGATTTCTTTTTCTACTGGTTTGAGGACTAGTAATGTTTCTGTCAATCAGGCGTTACTGTGAAGGGCAGTTGAGTACGGTTCTGGTGTTAATCCATAAACCTGCTGTGGGAATGAAATGGTGAAGGGCATTAGAGTTAAACGTCTGAAACTAGTGAATTATTAATCAAGATAAATCAGCGGAGACTAACACTGATATTTACCACATGTCCTTCAGCAACACAGCCGGCCAACCTGATTACAAACCTCTCTTATTTCTGGGTAAAGGTGACATTGTCGACGGAGAAAAAACAGACGTCTGGAAACGACAGCGTGAGATACTTGTTTTTCATAAGGAGAAGGCTTGAAACTCATCACTGCACGCTCGTAAGTTATTTGTCATTCTGGCAATTTCAGTATATATGTATATGTATTTTTCAGATTTACTGAACTGTCACCTTGACTTTGAAAAAAAAAAAATTTCCCATGACCTTTGACCTACAGTTCGAGCAGTCAGATGTTTATTACGTACCTGGAGAAAAGAGCAGGAAGAAGATCCCAAGCACAAGCAGCATCTTCCTAACTGGTGTTGAACTGTTCCCGACTGGAATGTTTGCAGTCTGCAGTTAAAGCTGTCGTGCCAGAAAGTGTGTGTGTGTGGTGAAACTGTTCCACCCACATTAACACCATCATTACATGAAACAGGAAGCATTTAATAAAAGTTACTGTTTGTTGCTATGTGGGTTAGGGTTGGTGTTTTTGCTGGTTTCACAGATACTTGCTCTGTTTATCTTCTTTATCTTTCTCTTGTTAATCACAGACACCAACTTAACATCAGGAAGTGAAACTTTGTCTCTGCTGACTGAGGCATAATTTAAGTACAGTCTGAGGATTTGTTGGCTTTTTTTCCTTCACCAAGAGGAAACTCTCATTTCTCTCGAACAATCACCTCTATCAAACTATGGAAAAGGAGAAACTGTTGAAACAACCTAATGTAAATATAAGCTCCTAATAAGTTAATGAGTGAAGGTGTGGTTACATTGAAACCACAATTTTAGAAATAGTGCATCGTTCAGAATACATTACCCACAATTGTTTGGCTTTCTTCTAAATCCTGCTCTTTCGAAGTTTAATCTATAAACATATCAGTTCTTACCACTAGGGAAAAACAGTACACTAACTGTAACCTTTCACAATAACTAGTATTCCTGTGGATTTTATTTAATAAAGCTAAAAATATGCAGTACTGCTATCATTTCTTTACATTTTAATAGGTATAACGATGAAACATAATATAGGACCTACAGAGCTCTACTTTGGCTGTTGGCTGGCTTTTGTTCTATTCTCTGTCAAAATGATTCCACGCTGCTTCAATGATGTTGCAGTTCGGGTGTTTCACTGTGGGTTTTTCTATCAGGTATGTTTTTACTGCATTAACAGTGTGTTTGGAATCATCATCATGACGAACAATGAAGATGTTGCCAATCAGATGGTTTCCAGATGGTACTACATAGTGGATCAAAATCTGATGGTACCTTTCTGTGTTCATAATCGTGTGTTGAGTGGCTTGAAAATGGTCAGGAACAAGGACTGGACTGAAGGTGAGTAAAAAAGCAGTGAAGAGCTTCAGAAGGGCTGGAGAACTATAGTTTAAGACAACTCAACATGTACTCAGACACAGATATACAGTCCCGTGTTTTTTTTTTTTTCATAATGTAAGGTGTGAAGATTCATGTGGTTCATTGTGCTGAGTGGGGTTTTTTTTTTTCCTGTTCTCAAACTGCTCTCCCATTAGGAGCTCAGTGTGGGTGGAGTTCTTTTTTTCCCTCCTCTTCCCTCATATATTGTGTATTTCATTGTTTTTCTTACCATCCTACCTCACTCTGACCTGTCTTACCAACGTCATGTTTGTGCAATGTAAGTACGGTCGAAAGGGGTCCTATTTTACTGCATGTATGTGTAACATTGATAGTGGCGATTAAAGGGCTTAATCAGTCAATTTACATTTACAATTCCAGTTTATTTGAAACAAAACAAAACAATGAGCAGGCAGAGTGCATTACTAAAACATAAAAAACAGCAATTTTGAAGTAAATGTTTGTGTTCGAGCAGTTCAGTCAGAAATCAGCACTGAGTTTAATGCAGCGGGCCTGCAAGCACAGTAAAAAGCTTCAGATGGACTGACAGTGCCGTGTGAGAAGTAATAGACGTCTTTTAATGAAGCAGATGTGCTGTATGCTTTTATCTTTTACATTTCTTTTTATGTGCTAATTTGGCAAAGAGTCTTTTTCAAATCGGTTTGCAGTAAACTGACAGGAAAACTAACTCGGCATGTACAACTTGATAGTGAGTAGGAAGACTTTATCTCATGCCATTTAAGATGAACAAAAGAAGCATCACTGGAGGTGACTTAGAGTGCCCTATGATGTATTGGACTTGACCTCTAACACAGACCAATCAGCATCCAGGGTGTGGCTAAAACACAGCATCATGCTTCAAATAAAAAATAGCCAAACATTGCAGATCGATTCTTCTCATCGTTGTTATAAAGATAGATTGTGTGTTGATAAGGAAAATAATGTTTAGTTTATGGAAAAATGTGCAAAAAGAAGTGCACATCTCACCGTGTAGCAGTTTAAATGATCCAGTTCTCTGTATTTTACCCCATTGTTTCCATATTGTGATTGAAGCTGCATTATGTAGTCTGATTAATATGTTTCCAGAATTGGTGCCTCCTAGCAGCCCAGCTGGCAGGGACTTTCTCCGATGGCATATGAGGCGGGGTTAACAGGCACTGCATTCTGCAGAAAGTTGGCTTTTAATGAGGAGAGATAAAAGGCTAAAATAACCTGTTTGAGAATAAAATTGAGCTGATGTGGGACAATGTGTCCCTGCAAGATACATAAGGATTCTTCTGAACTGTGAATCATGTGAAGCTCAGTGACAGAAAGACTAATTGTTGAATCACCGAGTTGAAGGATTAATCCTTCGCAGCGTACCCAAACACTCCAGCTCCCTCGTGTTTGTATAAAGAGAAGGATCCGGCAAATAAATCCACGTTACAAGCGCTGATGTGATGCTGCAGAAATCATTTGTGAAAGGTCACCCAGCATAAAATGTACAGCAGAGATGTTGATAGATGAAGGAGCCGAGTCAAAGCAGCAGTCAAGGGGAAGCTTCATCAATGCCAAGCAAAAAGCAGCAGCAGCACCGCGAGTATGCAGCAGTGCAGAGTCTGAATCGGTCAGGAGCTGCTGTGGCACACATGTGGGCATGTGTCCTGCCTGTGTCTCTGTTTTACATCCCCAAGGCTCATTAGTTCACTTCTGTTTTGTTTCTTTTGAGCTGATCTTTTGAGTTCTGAAAAGATGAGCTTGTCCTCTCCTCACTGAGTCTTCACTTTCTTGGTGTGAGGGACGGGCTCTCGTTTTCTGGGTTTGGAGGCGAAACGGCTGGTGCAGACATGAGTGAGACAAAAGCAAGAGAGTACTGCTGTTATGTTGGAAATACAAATTGATTATTGAGTATGGATTTACACAAACAGAAAAGAAGAAAGGCTCAAGAGTGTCTAAAATGTCAGAATATGGCTTGTACTTGAAAATAATACAACTTAAAGTCACTGGGATTATCTTGAATATAAGTATGCATATTGTTGTAGTATTTGAATGTCGTGTTGATTATCTGTATTTGTGACGTACAATCAGCAAAGCAGCTGTACTGGAGTACCTACAATATACTCAATATATATATACTGGGTTGTGGTGGAATGGGAGATTCACATCAAGGATGTGCAGCCGACATATCTGCAGCAAATCTGTGGTGCTATCATATCAATATTGACTGAAATATCACATTAATGTTCCCAGCACTTAATGAATTTGTGCCATAAAGAATTTAGGCAGTTCTGAAGGAAAAAGAGGGTAAAACAACTTAATAGCAAAGTGTAACTAATAAAGAGGCCAGTGAGTGTTTTTGCTCCATGTGTGTTTGGGACTGTGGTATTATTTTTGGGTCATCGTACCTTCGCTGGTAGAGGTAGAGAAAGAAGAGAAGCTCATCTCTGAAGCAGGAAAGTTGATGCGAGGAAGAGAAGGATCCAGAGGAGGAAAAGAAGGAGGCACAGGAGCACAGATCTGAAATCAGCGTGTTGACTCCCTGTTGGAGACGAGAGAGGATAGCTGACCGAACTCAATCGCTTTAACACCAAACGCAGCACAAAGGAAACCTGCTGATGCTGCTTGTGAATGAGCTCAAGAAATACTCACCCTGTACATCAACACTGTCCCCTGCAGGTGACTCACAGACTTCAGCTGTCCCACAGTAGAAAGTGAACAAACAAGGGAGGGGGAGGAGGTTTGTTTTGTTTTAATTTTTAACGTACAAATTTTAGCCAAAGAAAATATTTTTGAAGTGTTGCTGTTTAGCTGCCACACAAACCTTGTGGTTAATGTAGAGCTGAGGGGCCATAGACAGGAAGCCAAAGGCGTACACTCCTGAGGCGAGGAGGCAGGTATTATAAATCCAAAAGTAAATAATAGTAAAACTCAAAGTCAAATGTATCTATATAGCACACTTAAAACACCAACTCTTGACCAAGGTTCTGTAAATGTAAGATAAACAAAAGAGATAAAAACATAGGAAGAGATGATAAAATTTAAGAAGCGGAGAATAAAATGAGGAGATATGAGACAAATAAAAGTGGTGCAAACTCAGCTGATTTAAAGCCAAGGAATAAACGTGGGTTTTCAGATGGGTTTTGAAAGTGTCTAATGTTGGAGAGGTCCTGATGTGAAGCGGCAGTTTGTTCCGCACTATAGGAGCAGTCACAGCAAAGGCCCGCTCTCCTCTGTGCTTTAATCAGGACCTCGGGACAGCTAGGATCATTTGATCAGCAGACCTCAGTGATCTTGCAGGAGTGTAAATATAAATTCAAAAACTAACTGGCAGCCAGTGTAAGGATGCTAGTATGAGAGATATGTAGTCCTGCAACTGCAGGTGTTAATGCTCAATTCCGATTTTTTTAACAAATCAGATTTTTTTTGTCTGCTTGTTCACACTACAAATAAAATGTGACAGCAAACGCGCTCTAGTGTGAACCCTCAAAGCGGCCCGCATGCGCAAAAGAAGACGTCACACACAACGCGCTCTGTTTAGACCCAGACAAACAGTATTGTTTGACTGATGGCCCTTAATATAAAGACTTGTTTCGGACTTTACGTTTCCCAATTTTGCTTTAAGTTATAAAGTTATTTTGTTATTTACATATGGCCTAATAATTATCCTTATTGCTGTTTTAGAGGAGCGGTGCTTCAAAGGATAGTTGCAGATTTCTGTCAGAATCTGCAGATTATACAGTACAAATAAAATGTTCACGTTGTCTTCCCAACAGTTTCACTGACATCTACACTGGATGGCCAGGAAGCGTTCGCGATGTCTTCTCCGGCGCTGATAATTGGCGTCTGTCTTGTGTCAGTGACGTAAAAGACGGATTTAATGCGACATGACCGTTCAAACAGCAGTCGCTTTCTAAAACATCGGATATGTATCGGATTCAGTACCACATACGAAAGTGACCCAGATCGGATTTGAAAATATCAGATTTGTGCCGTTCACACTGTCATACCATGATCGGATATGGGTCGCATAGGGTCAAAAAAGTCGGATTTGATGCACTTTCGCCTGCAGTGTGAACGTAGCCTTAGTGACTGTGCTGCAGTGATTTGGACCAGCTGCAGTCGGTTAACTGAAAACAGACTGACACCTGAGTAAAGACATGGATAGCTCTCTCAAAGTCTCTAAAACAGAGGAGTGGCTTCACTTTTGCAAGTAGCCGGAGATGAAAGAAACTGGTCCTGATTACAGCATTGATCTGTTTACCAAATGTTAGATTGCGTTCCTCGCAAAGGTTTTTTTTTAAAATAAACTTCTAAAGGGCCCAAGTCGTAGTGGTCACAGGGACCAAACACAATGACCGCTGTTTTCTGTTCACTTAAGTTAAGAAAGTTTAAAACCACCCATGCCTTAACATCCTCCAAACAATCTAGTAAACCCTTCAGAGGACTCACAGATTTACTTTTCAGTGGTAGGCAAATCTGTGAGTCGTCAGCATAACAATGAAATAAGATGCCTTGTTTTTTTTTTTTGTTTTGTTTTTTTAAATGAGCCCATAGGGAGTAGTAAGGTTAGTTTTAAAGAAAGATTATTAAGAATTAAGTACTGTACTTATTATAGATAATCTTTGGGAATGGATGCAAGAAAACTCACCAGTCACCAGAGTGCTGATCAGCCAGGAATAGTAACTGTCAATGAAATAATCAGAGGCTTTTCAGGGTATACATAATAACCAATCCATACCAACTTTATTCATTAAGCTCTTTTTAAAAAAGCTACATCAGACACAAAGTCCTATACACAAAAATAGATAAATACACTCTAAACTATGAAAGGTAAAAACAGCTATAACACAATAAAAATGAACAAGATCAATGTCTAATGTTGGGTCAAAGGCCAAAGAGAAAGAATGCGTTTTAAGATGAGTTTTAAAAATAGACAACATAGATGTCAGGCAGCTATGGATAAGACTAAAATGTAAGAAACATTCAGATCTGACGAGAATCTTTAAAAGGTGACTTTTTAAAGGAGGTTGGCACAAATGTGAAGTCTGGCACCGCTTTAATAATGACAAATTAAGTAGCGACGAGATGAATTTGATGATTGGCTCACCTCTTTTGGCGTAAGTAGGCCAGAGAGAAAACAGCTCCACTGATGCACAGGGGATACACCAAGTAGGACAAGTATCTGGACGCCTCGAGGGAAAAGCCAAAGATGAAAATGTAAAAATGAAAGAAAGCCTGAGGGAGAATATTAAAGGAGCCATAAAACAAACAGACTGATACCTGTGTGTCGTACTCCACTGTCTTTCTCTCCTCTTCATCCAGTTTATTAACCTATAGAGTAAGACGGATCACTTAGAGATCACAACTTGTATGATGCATTCTTCCACACTGCTGTGAACACAGATGTGCAAGTGCTCCATACTCACATGAAGCTTGTTGCCTTTACACTGTATCTGGATCTTAAATACTGTAAACACCTTCCACACCTGGTGGGATAAGGGATTACTGGTTTATAACTCTCTGTTTTGATCTTTATTTGACTCTAATTTGTCTGAGCAACACCAGATATACTAATAACTACCTCCACACACGCTCCCAGGCCGACAGGAAGGAGCACCAGCAGGCTGGTCTCCTCCAGAAGATAGAGGAAAATCAGCAAAGTACCGAGACTACGCCACAGAACTGAAAACGAAAAAAGGAATTTAACATTTTCTGAGCTGACCGATGCCACGCATATTTTTTTTTCCTAACATGATTATGGTCACCTGTCTTCCTCGATATCCCCGCCATGCTCTTCTTTTTCCTCCATGAGCTGATGTCATTTTTAAGAGCCAGAAACTCACAGATCAGCTGTTGGAAAAAAAGGAAATAAAGCATTTAGAAAAGAAATTACATTTCCTTCCACAAAGTCCGTGTTAACATGCTCTCTTACTTGCAAAGCTGTGATGAAAGCAGTCAGCACTAACAGGTAGAGGTTGGATCCCACCAGAGCTTCTTTAATTTCATCGATGTTTTCGTCTGTGAAGCCTGGAGACACAAAGAAGCAACGGATGAGCTCATTTTGATGAGCTGAGGTATTATTTGGGTTGTATTTGACCACATATAATTAATATGATATAATTAAGATTAATGAATCATTATAATGCCTTAAATCATATGTCTGTTATATAAATAGTTCACCGAATTGCTGCAGGGAATAAACCATGTCCTGTAGGTGGACCCAAAACCTGAATCCTCTCAGAGAGATTCCCTCATAGGACACAGTGAGAGGGAGCTGAACGGTGCCGCTGCTGATCTCCTGTCGGTGAATGGATAAACGGATATGTGCTCAATTTAAATCAGCCAAAAAAAATAGTAATAATCAAAATAAGCAAGTGTCTGTTAAAGTTTACTAGAAAAAGCTTCCTATACCATGAGGTCTCTGACTCTGAAGTTGAGCTCATTAACCATCAGCAGAGGGAGGTACATCATCTGTCTGCCTTCCTGAGAGCTGCAGAGAAAAGCAGGAAGGTTCTTTAATTCAAAGTGATCCTTGTTTTCACCCCGGGAAATTTGTGAACACGTTTACACATCCATACACTTAAACACCTTACCCTGAGGCACCTTAGTGGTAGCAGCTGAGAGGTCTAACAGGTTTACTTTGCCTTTAAATTCCAGCCTGCTGAGAGATTACAGAGTCTACCAGTGGCTGTTTGTAACTTGTGATCCAGATCTAGAGGATCATCTTTTACAGATAAGAGAACTTTTTTCCCATTTTCATTATTTTTCTTTAATTAATATAAATTAATATCTACTAAAGACTAAAGAATTGTTTGGCTAGCGAGCAGTGACAAAGGGCTATTTATTTATGTACCCTTGTGATGATACTTTTACTGCACCAGACACTGTATCTAAAGCGGACTTTCTTCTAGATGTTTTTCAATATATATTGCGCCCTTTGAATAATAACACAGCACCTGCAACAAAACACCAGTGTGTTTGATTTTCTGTCAGAAGTATCTGTTCCTCTCAGCCTTTCGGTGCCACTGCAGCAGCAAAACAGCAGAAGTCAGCAGTACGCTGACAGCTCACCTGGCTTTGACCTCCAAAGCTTCATCTGACTTACACTCTCATGTAGCGGCGCACGTCACTGGGAAGCCCAGCCTTTGTGAAGGTGAAGTCCTCTGACATGACAGTGAGTGACAGGTGGGGTCTCCAGTGGGATACAGGGTTCTCAGATCTCGGCTTCTGGGTGGAACCAAAAAAATAAATAAATAATGCACTGTGCAAGGCAGCTGGGCCCCATAAAAAGGCCCCATTATATCGAATATATGTAAAGGCAACATGCTGGGTGAAATATGAAGTAGTCCTGAGTGATGATGTACCTTCTCCTTGTCTTTTTGGACGTCGGTGCGTGAGGGGGTGATGTAGGTGGTGAGTTGGACTGCATAGTGGACCTCTCTGCTGTCCTCCAAAGGTGAAACGCCAGCCTTGTGCACATAAACAACTGCAAAGAGGGTGCCATTAGCCCGAGTCTCTCCTGGCAGAGAGACATGCACCTTTCTGTGGAGAGAGAGATAGGCATAAAAAATAGAAACTGCGTGTTTTAGGCCTTCATAAACAATCAAATATGCTAATCATTACTGAGTACTTGCAGCATCCTGTGACTGTCACTGTGATCAGTGGTCGGTAAAGTCTTTTGATGACTATATATTTATATGACTAAAGATTTATGTTGCAATACCTGCGATGCTGCTACCATTGTGTTAAAAAATAAACAAATAATTTTTCAGATTGTTGGTCTGCTCCTGTGCAGTTATCAACATGTCAAACCCACCTCTCAAATCTCGAGTGAGGGTCGAACGGGTCTATTTTTACAGCGAGCTCGAGGGGGCTGTTGTCTGGCACGAGACAGGTAAAAACACTCATCTGAATGAAGGAGAAGACGAGATGTTAAAACAAGGTTTCCATTTTAGTTTGAGATTCCTTTCAAAATGAAAGCGACGAGATAATCCTGACTGTGCTTCAAATGTGTGTCTGTTTTACAGATTTCACAAAGTAAACACCTGCAAACAAAACGATCTATCAATATTTTCATGAAGAGAATGCATGAAAATGCCATAGTTTTAAAGTAGATGTGCACAAAAACGACACAAACCTAAATGCCAAATGACAATTTATCATATTTTTCTCTAACTACCATGTAGACAGTACACTTTAGCAGTAAGGGCTTCTTGCTGAGCAGCACATGGACAGATTTTTTTTTCAAACCTATGGATCTGGATCTCAGAGATTTGCCATCAGGAATAAGACAAGCTCTAACCTGTAGTCTGGGTCTGGCTGCCAGATAGGAGGTGATGCAGTGCTCTCCTCTGCCTCCATCGCAGGATTTGGTGTTTAGGAAACCGTACAACAGCCAGGCGGTGTGGAGCATGTAAACCACAAACACCCCGAGCAGCAGCTTAGCGATGGAGCTCCTCTTACTGCCGCTGTCCGCAGGTTTGGAGTAACAAGACGGGAACATGGCAGCCAAGCGACTCAGAGTTTCACCCGCAAAATACTGAACATTTAAAGAAATATTTTTTTAAAAAATGGACGCGGTCTGGTTCGGGATTGTAACTGTAACAATACAATCCCCACGCTTCCTCTCTGATTCACCATCTTCCGGTTATCCGCATCCAGCAGAAGATGCTGATGCTGACAAAAACCTCCGCGGCTGCGCCCACACCGCTTTTACCACTGAGCCCACAAGGAGAAAAATAATTAATTAAAACATTATTATAGACATGCACGAAAAGCAGAATCACTGCAGAGCGAGAAAATATGTTTTCTTCTGCTTTTACAGTCAGAGTTTTATTCACTGCGTTAGAGGACCGAAGCGCCATTTATGCCGGGAGATTACATGGAAACAATTTCTCCAAAGGAAACAGAAATAATTATATTAGGGTGGAAATACGAAAGCTCTTTTTCACCTAGCTAATTAACATGTTAGTGGTAAGATCACTTTAAATGAAAACAGAGAAGTCCACAGTTAGGAAACAATTAAATGTATAGCTAAGTTCATGAAATCCTTTGTTACAGCTGGCAATACATGAAACAGAAGTATTAATGTGATACTTCAAATAAGACAACGGTCAAATAAAAAAACAACAACAACAAATAAACTTTAAATCGTTTTGTGGCGGCCTTTGACTAGTTTATTATAATTAGAATTTATTAAATTTAATAATTTATTAAAAATACAATATATTAGTGTTTAACTAATTTCATCATTTTGACATACCATAGTATGTTTCGCAAAACAAACTTACAGAGTAAGTCGACCTGTTATTTTATGTATTTTATTGAATTCTTCTCCAGAAACAAGCTTCCATACATTTAGTTCCTTTATTTACTTCCCATACTTGTCTCTCCCTGGCGGATACTGGCTTTTATATGTAATGCAAAAGGATCGTTCGTGGCCTCAGTATTTATTAATCCTCTTTGTGTTTTTCAATGACCTTTTTCTACAGCCACGGGTGTGTTTGATGGAAAGGTTCTCAGTCGGAGTGATCACCTCAAGCATGGACGATCTTCGGCGCTCTGCGCTGCCGCCGCGGTGCATTATGGTCCAGAGAGCCCGTGCTCTTCTGTCCTCACGTTAAGCCGGGGAGCTGTGTTTTCAGGTTGAAACACAGCCGCACATGTAGACTCGGGACACTTTACAGGCATCGGCAGGTGACCTGTCTGTGATACTCGTGTCTGCGTTTACTGTCACGTTAAAACTTGTCGGCTGTTGTGAGTGAAGCATGTTTGTTATACTGCAGCAGCTAAGATAGTTAGCATAACAAACAGCCGCGAGACAAAGTTGAAGAAAGTTATAAAAGCAGGTGAAAGCGAGGCAATGTGCGCGTGAGAGATACTTATGTGTACTGTGAAGTTACTGTAACGTATGTAACGGGAGTTTTCACTCTTGTTGTACCTGTGGGTCAGGACTGTCTCGTCTAACACATAGCTTGGCAAACATCTGGAGGGCACCGAGGGACCACTAATGAGAGGATTGTAAACACTTGGTGCTTGCAGCTTTCTTTGCTTATGGAAGTTAAAGCGTGTCTTAATATTCTCCTCCTCCCTTCCCTGCTGCTGTGCCTGGTATAATCCCTTGCCTGTGGTGAACATCAGCTCTCCAGCGCCAGTATGGCGGTCTGCGTAAAGGCTTTGTGTTGCGTTGGTGTGGAGATCAAAATGCACAAGTTGCTGCTGGCCGGCTGTGCGAACTTTCATCCAAAGTGGTTTTTAAACTCTCTTGGTCCTTTTTCCTCACGACTTGGTGGGACAAGAACCCTCAGCTATTATAGCAGAGCTGCAGAGTTCTGTCCAACGGGACACTCTGTGCCACAGGGAAATGTAAGACTGGGATCATTCAGCAGGAACTACAGTGATGTCTGCTTGAATTCACTGGTCAGTCAAGCACTGCCTTTATCCACATGTCAGACCAGAAGATCTCAGTGTGCTGCAGTGAGAACTGGGAGAAACCTGCTGCAGAGAGGAGCAGTGTGGCCTGGTAAGATGATGTAGTTAATTTGGCTCATACTGACCACAGTATACAAGTATTCCACGTGACCTATAGTTGTCTTTACAGTCATGGTAAAAAGAGTCTCTTTCAGTTCTAAGGTTTTATATATTACAGCATGTAAAAAAGAGACTAATTACACCTTTACTGCTTTCATATGAGTTAGGAGGGTAATGAGCAGCCAGCTGCTGCTAATCAAATGTATTTGATTAGCTAATCATCAGCAAGCGTGAGCATCCCTATAAAAGCAGACGTTATGGTAGTTTGCTGGTTTGGAGCATTTAGATGCATATTAACACGGTGCCAAGAAGAAAACACATTAGCACTGATCTTAGAGAAGCAACTGTTGCTGCCCATCATGGGATGTAGTGAGTTTTTCACAGGAATGCATAGTGTCCCTTTAAATTTTTCTTTTCCACTTGACTGCGTTTTAAGTTAGAATAATGAAGAATTGTGTGCTAAGGTTTGTAATTCTAAACTTTATTATCCCGACCCAAAGCTCTGTACATACAGGTGAGAACCAAGCTGTTGTCTTTCTGCTGTAGTCATGCTATATCCAAGGTACTGCTCAACGTTACATGTCAAATACTTTCCTGCACACATGGTTTAACTTGGTCTTTTCTTTGAACAGTGTCCTTTATCTGCAGAAGAGTCTCAGACGCCCCTCCTTCCACTGTAGCTCCGGCATTTGTAGTGGTAAGAGAGAAATTAATTTAAGCAGTCATTAATTAATAGTTGCTAATACTACTTGAAAGGTTTTGGGATGTGGTTTGTCACTTTGTCTTGCTGCAATAAACAATATCTTATTATTTTGTTTACTAAACCTGTAGATTTCATTCACACGTTTATAATTTAACATACATCCTCCCCATCTTTACCTTAGAAACACTCAGCACCTGTGAGGTTACTGACCTGTCATCAGCTTACACCATTATTTATTTATTTGTTTATTATTTTGGTGCTGGCATCAAAAATAAGGTTTTGTTACAAAAAACAAAAAAACCCAACAGTAACAAACAAACTTGTCATTTGATCAGCCGTGTGTGTGGAGATGGATAGATATTTAAAAAAAAACAAATAAGCATAGCATTTGGAATGCTCAAGTAATTTATTGTTATTATTTACATTTCACACAATTGTGTTTCAACGCTGTGCAAAAAAGCAGCGAAGATGTGGTTGCTTGATGTAACCAATCAGCTTCATGTTTTCTTTCTTCGACAGATGAAGTTTGACCAAGAGGGAAATGTGACGTCATTTGGTAAGTGTGAGGAAATTAACCTCATTAACGTTTACATGTTGTTGGCACTGAGACTGATGATTGTCTCTTATCTCTGGCATTGTGACAGAGCATAGGGCGCTTTTCTTCTTTTTTTTTTTTTTTTTAAACATGTCCCTGAAGTACTCTTCCGTATCCTTTTTATTATGTGTAGAACTGGACATGCAGCCCATTTTTGTCCATCACTGCTGTGTTTCTGTGTTACTTCCCCTGTGCAGCAGCCACTAATGGGTTGTGTTACCACCAGTGACTCCCTTCTGTTATCCATGAGTAAAAATCAGTTGTATTTCAACCTCTACTTCATGTGTAGAGATTGGCCCAACTATATGTACATGTGTGCCTCTGCTCCTCCTTATTTGTTTTTCTCTTCAAGAAAAAAAGAAGACGGAGCTTTGCCAGGAGTTAAGTCTTCAAGCCAGAGACCTACGCTTCCAACACACTACCAGCCTCACTGCTAGAAATAACTGCATTATTTTACGAATGGCGGTATGTTTTATTTCTTTTTCCTTTGTCTGCCACGCTCCACTTACACCACAGGAGGCGTAGCATGAGCCGCACCTGAGCCGAAAAACTGGAGTTTAAGCAGATGTTGCTTTCAATCAAAATAAGATGATCTTTATCATGTTTTTGAAAAGTAAAAATCCTGTTATCATATATATGTTAGTCCAACCTACAATCTATCATCCCCTGGAACCATCATGGTTCATCATTTTACAGAATGAATGAATTCTGTTCTCTCAGCACATCGTATTTTATCTCCACCGTTGTCACGATGAGGTAGCCACACTTTCTGTCACACCTGATGACGAATGAGAAGGCACAGTCAGTTCAAGAACTATACTCAGAGGAGGAGATGCACACTCTGCTCATTCATCATAACCAGCAGTGATACAGAAAGTCTAGCAAACAGTTTTAACTAAAGTTAAAGTTTCACAATGTTGGCTCTGTGAAGAGTTTGTGGAAGACAAATAGAGGATACGGTGTTAAAGCAGTCTTGCTTCTCTTGTCTATAAAGTGTTCAGATGATGGTGTGTTTCTATATCTTCATTTTCTTGTAGTAATGATAAGTGTCTGCAAAACATCGTACGGTATAAGAAGTAAATAAATATCCAGTCTCACGTGTTCATCTTTGCTCCCATCTCTAATGTGCTACACAAACAGGGCAGTCCTCACAGGTCGGCCCTTGGTACTGTGGCAAACACTGGCACTTTCCACAGACGCAGTTCCCCCTACCGTTGCACAGCTGCTGGTTTTTTGCCACACAGGAAGCAGTTTCCGTGCTGCAGCTGCAGTCACTACCTGTCCAGTACGCATAACAGCGGCACATTCCACACTCGCATATCCCATTGCCTCCGCATATTCTGTCAGATTAAAAATGTAGTGTTTTAACTGTGAAGCTGTGTGATAACTTTATATCGGTATATTTTATATACAAACTCGTGGCAACTTTTTGTTTTTACCTGCTCTCGTGGTATGGACAGTCAAAGTTTGTGCACTCACAGAATTGTCCGCGTATCTTTTCTGGATTTTCCCGCTGGTTGCAGTGACACATGCCCGACACACACACACCCCGGCCGCTGCACACCGGGGCGCCAGGGCGTGAGCGACAGGAGTCTTCGTTTTCTGACTCAAAGGAAGTTATGTCAATCTGACAGAGGTTTCCAACATAAGGCTGATAGCACACACAACGCCCACACACGAGCGCCCCGTGGCTGCTGCAGGTGGGACTGTTTTCCTCTCTGTTTTCAGTGCAACTACACTGACCTGGTGAAGCAAATAGATTTTTAATGTTATTATCACACTGAAGAAAAATGAGCTGAATTATTGAACTCTCAATTTTCTAACAGTCTCATGAAGACTTGCTTTAGGTTTTCAGACTCAAATGTTTCTCGTAGCAAGTTGCTGCAGACTTACACT